AAAACAAGCATGCCTAAGAACAAAAGTTGACATTGAGGTAATTTGCTTTGCTTTCTCACGCCGAATTATATCACTGTCAAATGCCGATGTGTGTAAAACATTAGTATGTAATGAGGCGACTTCGTTACGCGAAGGTTTCCCGGGCTCTACAGGATCAGTCATCGTTGTTTAATGATGCGGGTTCAATCCTTCCGATGTATACGGGCGCGTTACCGTCTGAATACAAATTGGCTGAAAGAAGTAGAAGCTTTTTTTTTTCGTTTTAACTGTCTTGCTTGCGAAACGTGCTTCGCTGTTTTGGCTGTTCGAATTTTAAAATTCAACTTTATTCTTACCTAAAGCATAAGTCCGTTTCTTACATAACATGCACATGTATGTTGAAACAGGTATATTTACGTTCTATTTAGCGCATAATGTGACCTCAGTTCAGATGAGAATACTCAAGCTCACACACACCGCGTCCATAGATCAGATCGGTTAATCAAAACAGTCATAGCAATAAAATTGAATCTGTGTATTATGCAAAATACGTGGCAACATTAACACTGGCACTTATCGTTTATCCTCTATAAAATCGCTAATTACATCAAATTTCCGCTTGGAATAAATAATACAATCTAATATTAATAACAATTTCATAGCTGGTATGGGAATCGATGGGCAACATGAAAAATGTGGAAGCCCGTATGTATTTGTTTATTAAATAAGGCGTTAAAGAATGCGTGTGAGCGTGTCATTCGGACAGCTGACGTAGCGACGCGACAACTGTGTCAATGCCGCATCGTGCCGTTGCACTATCTGTCGCTAAAACTCTTATCGACCAAAACGATTAGTATTACATCAGAGCCTGCAAGTCACGTTATTTGGAGGGGAAAGTTACTCACTAACCCTAACACTTACGAAAGTAAAACTTTAGTAAATACGTAGGTTTATTTTAAGCACCGAGAATATAGAGGTTGCATGTAGCCTATTTGCAACCGGTTTATATTAAAACTGGATTACTGGATAGGACTCAATACCTAATCTTCATTTACTCGATTAGCGTCACAGAATTGTGATTTATATCAACCCTATTATTAGAATAAATTTTTGTCATCGTAGTCAAATACTAAACAAACTAGTGTGTGTGGGTGTGTTAAATTTCTAATACTAAATTGAATATACTAAAGAATCAGATATCCCTGAGCTTTCCTTAGTTTCTTAAAAAAATCACCAAAATGCAAGCGGTGATGATTGAAGTAGAGTAATGAACACCTTTAGAGGTAGAAGGTGGCAAGCGAATTAGCAGTGGGCACCGTCTAACATTCATAAGCAAACTAAATTGTATCTCTTCCGATTTTACGTAGTTTTTCTGTGACATGTCCACAAACCAGGCTGTCCATTCAACCAGCATCAGAAGCTACTGTGGCTCCACTACAATAAATGTACGTACATATGTGCCAGTACTTTTCTTAATTTCGGGGCGATATAAAGTAGTGCGCAATAATAACAAATTCTCGTGGTAATTTCAACAGACAATAATTAATTCGTAAACTGTCGTGGGCGGAGTGCGAACATTTTTGCAATTACCGTGTCAAGCCGTGTTATCGAGTGCGAGGATATAAACCGTTTCGCTCGTGATAATATGGTGATACAGGCATCCTGGTTAATTGTTAGCCTGTTCAATAATTTGTTGTATTTAACTCGAATATGAGCCTTAAAAGCTCATTGTCGCGGCGCCTCCTTTTAATTAAATATACTCGTGTAACCCGAAATTTAAATAGGCTTTTTTACTCATATTGTTAAATATAAAAAAAATTCTAATTTGTCTTTATCAGTCCAATGACTGACAATGAGACTATTATAAAAAGTTACATATTTAATGTTCTATATTAGGATGTATTAGTACTGAAATATGTTCAAAATTAAATTCGGGACATTAGATAGGAGGAATTAATATTTTTATTCTTAGACTCTTAGCAGATCATTTAATTAACTGGTTAAATCAATGTTTACTTTGCAAAACGAACATAATTTTCAAATAACAAAACATCCTATCTCATAACCTCTGACCTATTATATTAACACGGTATCAATATGGTGTCAGTCTATTAGAAAGACAATTTATCTAAACATTCGATTTTTGCTAAACACGCCATTGGAGAACAAAGAACTGAATTAATGATTTATCGATAACAATTTATCAAAGCCTCAGGCTCTAAATTTTAATAACATTTTTCAAATATCCATCTAAGTTTCCTAATTAAAATCCGCTTTGAAGCAGATATCCAATAAGTTTTGCTAATTAGTAGAAGCTTTCGGCTCTTTTTATTCTTTTTTTCGTATAATATAAATAATACGAAATGTTATTATATAAATAATTTTAACGAATATTTAATTATGTAGATAAAATTTTATAACTGTAAACAATAAACGTTATTCATTTAGGTAAAGCTTAATAAACTATACTCACAAATATATCTGAAAATAATACATCATATAATTAAAGATATCAGTAGTCACCAAATATACCTACCTAATCAACATCTTCCTCTAGTAATTTTCCTTAAAAAATGTAACAAACAAATACAAATCATAGCTTAAACAGAGAATCATTCAAACTAGAGGTTTGCCTCCACGTTGTCTTTTGCAGATCGGTAAACTTCAAAAATATTTTTATAAGAAAATATGAAATAAGAATATTTTTCTCTTCTATCTAATTTTTAATGTAGAAATTCTAGTAATCTTCGTGTAGAAAGTTCCTAAAGGATCTGTCATTAAAACCAACACAAGGTTAGCCAGGAGGAGGTAAAGATATCAGGGAAAACTTTCTGAGTGCTAAATATAATTTTCAAAATTATGTAATTCAAACTCAAAGTCACTTAATATGTAGGTTAAGTTAAGGTTCCATTAAATTATGGTAAAACTTTTGTAATAGTAGTAGTACAATTTTATTGTAATAAATAATTTAATATTTCACAAAATAATGTGAATTTTTTGGCATAGTTAATATTTCATGTTATTTATTTTAATATTTTGTGCGATATATTACTTTATATTCGGAAATAAAATCATAACATCTTCCTGCTATTTAGATATATATTCAGATGATAGATAACCGTACGATTCGTAGAAGATATAAATCCTAACAAAAATAGTCTTTTATAAAATTTCTTTCACCTTTTATTTTGTTTTTATGTAACATGTTTTAATTATTATCTTTTAAATGTTCTTTTAGTGTTCACATATAATATTTTATATGTAAAGAATATGAACTGCTAACAGGTCATTTGGCTAAGTGTCTAAAATGTTATTAACTTAAAACAATATCGCAATGATCCGTGATTTCTTTTACAATGCGAAACAATTTGGTTGGAACAACCTTACACATACCATATCGTACGTACACGCTCACGTTCACATATTATGTATGAGTACGTCTATACTCATGAACCTGTCACTCCAAAAACAAGTTTCGGTGCTCCCCATTACAAACTACTGCCTAAAGGCTAAAGCTTGTTGCAAACAAATGACGTGGTTGTAGCAAAATCATTCGTCGATTCTTGGAAGCGATATATTCCGTAAGTTCTGAATTATGAAAGCCAATCGTTACCATAAGGGATTCATCATGGCCATTTCTTTGCAAGGCGATCCACACAATAACTAATGTTGCAATTTCGAAACGATATATAATTTTTACAACACCACGACGCACACAATTTTTAATGAATGGGCTATAATAAATAAAATAATAAACTAAGACTAAAAAATTGCAATGAATTTAGTTAAAGTAGAACATTATAGCAATCTGTAACCCAGATTTACGATTGGTCATGACCAAAGAGAATGAAAAGCCTTTAAAACTTTAAGAGGCAATAGATTTGTTAACTTAAGGAATCTCTGTAACAGTCAATATCTGTCTTTTAATCATAAATCAAAAGTATATTTAAGTGTCTATAATATAATATTTCAGGACATATTTTTCCATGACTTTAACTTATCTCAAAATAAGAAAAACTTGTATTATGGCTTCTAGGTAAATAAACTTACTTTTCTTTTTTCAATAAATACATAAGTACCCGGAGGACCGAGCTTTGCTCGGTTTGTTTTTTTTTTTTTTTTGGTAAATCGTGTATTTTGGAAATTACATTCAGATACAAATGACTGAGTAATGAAATATGCATAATATTTTTCAATCTTACCGACATAATTATAAGAAAATATGAACCGATGTTTTTCACAAAAGAAAGAACTTTAAAAAAAAGCGAAAAAAATAACAAAATAACAAATCGACAAAAAAATAAAAATAAAGAAAGCAATGATCTGGAATCGAAAAAAAAGTAAAAAAATAATCTGTAAATGATCGTGACGCGAACCACGGCCGTCTGTTTTGTGGCCGCCCGATTACCGACCGAGCTATTATGACATTTTCTCTTGCGGCGAAATTTAACGTCATATTCGAATTATATTTTTCATTCCCTGAAAACAGGGATAAAAGGGCATTTTCGAAAAATGAAACCTAGCTAGATCGATTTTTCGCCCCCGAATCTACGCACATACTAAATTTCATGAAAATCGCTGGAGCCGTTTCCGAGATTCCGATTATATATATACAAGAATTGCTCGTTTAAAGGATAAGATATAGAGTTATTCAGACAATATTTTTGCTGTAGTGGGGATTGAACCCCATACCTTCTAGCACGAGAGACAGGTTCACTATTCACTACGTCAATAGCATAGTCAAATAAGTCCCTATTTTAATGGTATCAAATATGAACCTATGGTATTAAATCGAGGGTAAGATAAGATCGAAGTTAAAATATAAATCAATAATCCTCAATGTCTTCACACTTGATTCATTTATTCTTCTTCGACCCTTAAGCGTTTTACGAGCAGACATTATCGGAAAAATGTTGGTAACACATGTGCAGTCCGAACTACGAGTGCGAAATTAAACTGGGCCTTAAAATATTTATGTGCTATTTAATGAAACTAGATACGATGTTAGTCTATCATTTCAGTGGCAATGGTGTTGGTGCCTTTTGATAACGTCGCTCGAAAATTCGCAAGCAGAGATTTTCACCTTGGGATACCTGACAGGGTCGCAGAGACGTCCAGGCGATTACAGTTACCAAAGACCAGGTCGGGTCATTTCAGGTGAGAATTTCAACGAGTTACTAAAATTAATATTCCATATAAATACGACACATTTAATAGATTAATTCGAAGTAAAAAGATAACAAGAAAAATTACTTTCGCAGAAAATACAACATTATATAATACAGAATGATTTAGACCGACGCAGCTATTCCGACTAGTTATTAGTTCCAGGAAGGGAATAAGATTTAAGTTGTTGCTTGTACATGCATCATATTAGTTTACAAATGATATTCCTTTTGACCGATGAAGCAATAATGTTGAAGACAGTACATATTTATTTATCGTACAAAATTTAACGGTTTTAGTGTCAATTCAAACAGATAATGTTATGATAGTGCAAAGTATTTGCTTCTATGGGAATAGAAGATTTTTTCTCGATTGTTCCGTACCATTTCAAAAAAAATATTATTCGTTTAAGAGTCTTACGTGCGTACTTTTAATTACAATATCGGTTTTCGCACCGTCTCGCCTTTAACCGAAATCCGAATAGAAAATCAAGCCTGTTTTAAAGGGTATTTCAACGCATTTGTTTGTCTTTAATTAAAAACTTATACTGTAGAGAGAGCTTATTCATTAAAAATTTAAAATGTTAAATCATTATTTTAAATACAATAATGTCACTTTTATTCACTTAGATGACTGTTATTAGAGGATTTCTCGATGTGACACATTATTGCTTGATCATTTTTCGTGATGACTTTTATAAACACAACCGTATTACTATTGGCTTAAAACTCACTGTCGTGTGTTCCCAGGAGCCATTTCTATGGCGGTGGATGAGGTCAATGAAAAATTACTTGGGCCTATGGGACATTCTTTAGACTTTGTCGTCGCTGAAACATACGGGCAAGAAGAGGTTTCTATAAAACAGGTTTGTTTCTTAATATTATCGATATAATTATACCATTGTACTATTGTATATCAACTACTTTCATCAATTTCAGTATTTCATTTCCATATTAAATTAGTTATGTTTTCATTTTTATTTTTATTAGATAAATACATAGATTTAAATTCAACACATATTCAAATTTAAAAACAAATGATCCATGTCTATTTTTAATGAAAGATGCATTTGCCGAAATGCGTTTAAATTCCAGTTTAATACAGTATTTTTTAATAATTTTAACAGAGAACTCTAACCAGCTTATGCTTATACCTCAGCTTAAATAAGAGTAACTTTGTGCACATAAGAGACTAAGGATCAAACTGCAGCTCCAGGCTTAGCGGAATTTGAAACCAACCTCTCGAGTTCGATGTGATAATGACTATCATTATTAAGCTCTATTTAATAGGTAATTCAATAGCTCTTTTAAATAATAACGAGCACTGCGATATAAAATAAAATCGACACGGACAAATATTTATTTAAAAAGACTCCATGAGTTAAGTATGCATACACAATTTATTGAGCTCATACTTTTTGTATGAGATTTTAGCACCCGCCCAGAGTAGATTTAACGGCCTATAGACCAAGGTTTATAATGGTAATAACTCTCTGAAATAGGATGGACATGTGACGTCAACGCCAAGTGGAGCAAGCCCTAAATCAATTTCGGTTTTAATAAACGTAAACAGTTTATATCACAACGATAGTAGTGAGGAGAGTAAGTGCCCATCCGTGGCACATTTTTGTAGCTTGATAATCGTACTTTCGTACTTTATTCTAGCTATTGGTGTTTCGAGCTATTTGATCGGTTGTCAGATCCTGGTTCATCCAAAATCTTGGGGCCACAAATATAGCTTAGCTATTACAAAGATAGAGCATTGTAGTTTTATTTGCAGTTGCATTAATGGCCCAGCGCGACGGGAAAAGTGTCACTAATACACAAAAGTAAGTTGAGACATTTATTTTTTTGTGTCCTGTAGTTGAGGTAACCGGAAGTCCAAATAGCAGTCGACAGGTGAAGGTAATCTGAACATTCATCACCACTTTCTATAAAAAAATAAAAACACGATATGAATAAACGGGTGCACACTGTCAATGTTTATTAAATATATTATATCATTATTTCATTAAATTATTACAACATATTTCATTAAATATTTTGTGCATGGTACAGGCCACCAGCGGCATTAATATATACCCCGTCATGTCTTCATTCCTCTTAAAGTGTATATTAGTACTCACCTTATACATTGTATTAGAAAAGTACGAAGGAAACAGCCTCTAATAAACATATCAGCGTAGTATTACGTTCTCACATAACACGGAAGCCGTTAGTAGCACATTCGAAACGTAATGGCGTTTCATATGAAGAGCTATTAGAACCGAAACTGTGACAAGTGTGTACGCAGGTTTATGGAAGCATAAAAATCCCCTTAGACGGTTTTATAGCATCAGCTGGCAGAGGCAAATTGTAGTTCTTTTTACATCATTGACACCAAAAGATTTGCACGTGCTTGTATAATGGTGATGTTACATTTTAAACACACCTTTATTCTTTGTTCTTTAGCATTTTCGTGTATAGTATCTTTTAATATTTCCTTTTGGGGTAAAAGATGTTGGAAGCTCTTTTATTAAAATAATGCTGGATCAGATGCTATTTCATTTTAATAAATATGAAAATTTGAACCAGCATCAGTTCGGATTTACGAAAGGATGATCTACAACTGATGCTGGAGTAGAATTAATTTCGCATATCCTGCAGGATATCTTGGGAAACGTTCCATGACACCATGTTCTGTGACCTTTCCAAGGCATTTTCAATTCAATAACAATTCTACACAGTCGTAGATCATAAGATTCTTTTGTTTAGAAATTTAAATAGTTTATAGTGCTAATCTTTGCACATAAGATTTAATATTAAAATACGTAGAAAAAGTACGAAAAGATTGTTGCCGCTGTGGGAATCGAACCCACGTCTTCGGCATTCGCGGCCTGACGCTTAAACCACTAAGCTAAACGGCTGATAGTTACACCGACGAAAATCTTAACATGCGCCAATATTATGGTATTCGAAAATCTGCCATTGTTTTTTTTCCTCATATCTTAACGATAGGGAACAAAAAGTAACTATAAATGGTATACTGTCATCGGGGTCAATAGTACAAATGGGTGTTCCTCAGGGATCAATCCTAGGCCCATTTCTGTTTTTATTCTACATAAATGATTTGCCATATGTGGTAGAAAAAAGGTCTCAAATCGTTTTGTTTGCGGATGACACTTCACTGTTGTTTAAGGTTCATAGGAAAGATGTTACATTAGAGCAACCAAATGAAATAATAAGTGTTGTGTCGGGCTGGTTTGTGACCAAAAATTTACTTTGAATGCCATCAAGACTAGATGTATCAGATTTACTTTATCAAAGCTGCCTCACAAACCAGGAATCTTTATTGATGACAACATCTCTCTCTACCTCTTGAGGATTCAACAGCATTCCTTGGATTCGTATTTTTAAACAAATAAACATCTTAACGCTCCCATCGCTATACATACTTTTTACAAAAAAACATCACACCGCGTCGGGGCTGTGGTGACGCTTTGGAAATACCGAGGTTTAGACTAGCTAAAACCAAGAAATCGTTTCTTGGTAGATGTATAGACTTATATAATAGAATAGGTGACATCCACAAACAATTAAATGTAAATAATTTCAAACATTTTGTAAAAGCCACCTTAATGGAAAGGGCCTATTATAATGTCGAGGAATACATTGAGGACAAGGATGTATTGAAATGACTCTTGCTCTGCACAAGTCCCCTGGCTCTTGCTAAATTAAAGTAAAATAATTTTGTGTATATACTTAAATAATTTATATATATATATATATATATATATATATATACAGCGTGTCGTTACAATCGCGACAATAAATGAACACACATATAGAGGATAACTTTTTAAAATTGTATTAAGTATTTACATTCTTAGAGCCGTGATAGCTCAGTGTCCGGGCGCTCGCCTTTAATTCAATATACTCGAGCAACCTGAGTTCGATCCCCGGTGCCGGCACCAATGAAATTTTTAACTTAAAGTGCTGACTTATCACGTGCTCCTCGGTGAAGGAAAACATCGTGAGGAAACCTGTATATTTTCGAAATAATAACAAAAAAAAAATATTTCGAAGATATGTGAAGTCCGCCAACCCGCAGTGGGGCCGCATGGTGGACTATGCCCTGATACCCTCTCTATAGAGGAGGCCTTTGCCCAGCAAACAAACATGTTTTAGAACACTTTACGTTTACAAACTTAACATCAATAATCTAGTAATAAAAATAAAAAAAAAAGCTTGGTTAGAACACCCTTACGTATAAAACTGTAACTTGTTAACTTAATATCACCATGTCATACCTGAGAGAAATAAATGAACCTCATAATTATATACTGTATTGTACACCAAAAAAGAAAAAAGCACAGAACTTAAAAAAATATTTATCAAATATTGGTCATCCAAAGTCGACCTTATTGCTTTTTATGACACAGCAATTTCTTCCAGGCAACCTCAGAAATTTATCAAAAGAAATTGTTATTGGGTGGGATGTACATGAAATTAAGTAAGAAGAAAGTTGCAACAAAAATTAAAGTAATAAGAAAAGCATACCTCTTGTGTTTGATCATCAAAGTAAGAGTGAAATAAAAAGGGAAGGAGAGAGACATCGAGAGATAGAAAAGAGCTAGATAGAGAGATAATGCTTCTTAACCTGTCTTTTAAAAGAATCTAGGGTTAAAGCCTATTTTGAATAAAGAAATTTTGACTTTGACTTTGATTACTTTTTCAAAGACTACTATAATAATCGATCTTAAATATCGCTGATACTTACTGAATTCAAAATTAGAATAACAAAAATTATACAAATTTCCATCAAAGTTTATATTCGGATCTTCTGTATAATGTAATTTATGCAGCACAAATACTTCGAAGGAAGGCGATCAATGGTATATCTAATCGCTTCGTACTTCGGGCGCGCCTTTAATAACAGCAAGCAAATTTTAGATTTCAGCGTTTAAATTTTTATTCCTTAATTAATTTTATTTAATTGCTAGTAATTGCTAGTAATTGGGAAAGTAATATAAAACTTTTGTATACTTTAGCCTTTCAAAATTTAAACAATTTTCTTATCTTAGACCTTAATCATTTTTTGCTGTTAGTCAAAATAAAGTATTGCAAAAAAAGTCTTATTGCGAGCTATATTATACTAAATAATGTCTTATTGTAATGAATAGGAGTATACCATAAGCCATGTCAAAAGCCTATATTCAGCGACTGCGCAAATTAGTTTATTTGAATTTATTTGCGCAAAATAAATTCAATGTTTCAATTAGTCAGGTTTAGGGATATAGAGATTTTTAACCTAAATTTAGATTAAACTGTTGAAATATGTATAATGTATACCATCGCATGCAAGGCTACTTAAAAGACCCAGAAATAAAAAGAAACAGCAATTTCACGCGTACAAAATGAATACAAACAGCAACAGCGAATTATCAAAAACGCAATTTAGTATCGCACTGCATGAGTCATAACGGCTACGTTGTATAAGTATAGATTTATCCTTACTTTCTCATTATTGCCCGGAAATGAGCGTCATTGAACGGTCATACTGGAACGGCACAATCGCTATCTTTTTCCATTATTTTGTTCGTGCATATTATGCGTTTCACTTTAAGTCGCAAACGAATTTTATATTTGATAATAAACAAAACCTTTTTTATTTTTGACCATTAATTATTTGCCTCTTAACATTTAGTAAAGATCCGTGAGAAATAAATTACCACTAAATATTTATTTCGTGAAAATATTTATATCAGTGAATATTATCTTGACTTTAAGTTCGGCCTAGCAAATTCTTACTCTCTTTTAAAAAAATGCATGTGGCTCAATTCGAAAAAGCGGCATTGACTTTTGACCTTATTATAGTTGACATTCTTGCTTCATCGGTCAGAGAGCACGTGAAAGGAATATGTTTCCCTGAGCTTGATAACTCTACCTAAGAGAGAAACCTTTGTGAAAATAGGTGCATTACCAAAGTCCAAAGACCGTAAAGATGCATGCGGGCGATGACACCTGCGGCCGTCAACTGTGTTATTGGCTGGTAATGGAGTCTGGATCGTGGGTCGACCTCATGTAACAACATAAGTTGTTCGGCAGTAGGTACTCCCGGCGGAATCGGAATACTATCGTACCCTTCCTCTAACGAGTCGATGGACATCTACATCGGACATCTAGGCGGAGTTTGCAAACACTCACTATGTTTTGATTGGTAATTTGCCGCTTTTGCGGTTTACCAAAGTTGGATGATTTTGGGCTCTCTTGAAGGACCTAAAAAGTTCAGTCTCTCGAGATCACTTATTATCCAGTGCTTGAATATCATCTTACTTGTTATTAAGTACAAATGCAATCCCAGAATATGAACGCACAGCGCAGGCCCTGTCGAGATGGCCTTAACGCGTCCCCTTACAGCGAACACCATAGGCCTGCCCAGTGTAGGAACGGTAAGAGAAACCTTCCTCTTACCGTTACCGCAAGGGACCAAGCCACGGCTACTAAACTCCTCCGCCACGACAAGACGGGGACCCAGTCGGAGTGGTGGTTGATCACACTGCCGGGCCTAGTCTAAGGTGCTTCACACTAGTCTCCTTCATGATCGTTGATATTATAAGAAAAAAATTTGGAAGGAACCATATCTATGATAAATTATGGTTTTTATATCTTTATATATATATATATATATATATATATATATATATATATAATTCTTCTGTACGTTTGTATGTCACTGAACTCCTCCTTAATGACTGGACCGATTTTAATGAAATTTTGTGTGTGTCTTCAGGTCGATTCGAGAATGGTTTAGATTCACAATTCGCTCCACATTTTTCTTTTTATGTATAAGCTGTTTTCGGATTTCAGTCGTGTTTTCAAGACAACGTCTGTCGGGTTCGCTAGTATTTACATGTGAATGTAAATGCATATGTCTCTGTTATTTTGAATATTAATTGAAATGCAGCTGGCCTACTAAATGGATGCAAGCCACTGGACATCGCGCTTTCCAGAAATAATTTCAGTGTGTGATATTCTTGAATATTTCAACGACCTAATAATAATAGGTCGAAAGGTACAACATGTGGTGAAGTCATTTAGAAGTCTGCTATTAGATAAATTCGCTTTACATATCGTTATACGACAGTTATGCTCTTTATTGTCCCTTTAATGTCACTTTTATGTGGTCTGATTCATGTTTCTTTCTTCCTTTGGCTGGCAATTATCGAAGCACCTTGAATAACAACGCCTTGAAACCTATTTATGTAAACACTAATAATTCCAATTGCCGTCCGCATAAAAGATGTCCACTTACTATGATAAGATAAACCACGAGAGCAAACTTGTAGCTCGTAAAATTTACATCGTGTTTTCTTAAAACGTATGTACATACATACATCTATATATATATATATATATATATATATATATATATATATATATATATATATATATATATATATATATATATATATATATATATATATATATATATATATATATATATTATAGAGCAAAGTACAAATAAAGCATTCCATGTTAAAAAAATATTCCTCAGCTTTTCTATAACCTTATTCATCATACCTTAGGAAATAAGTAAAAATATAGCTAGGTACATCATCTTCCTTTCTTTTTTCAAAAAATCTAAAATACAAACACAGGAAAGGTGACAAAGGGAAAAATAAGGATAAAGATTCGGGCTGCGAAATTTGTCTCTACTGACAACGAGCACACAGTTCAACACCAAAAAACTGATGAAATCTTTAAGTTTTTTATAAAGTGTATAAAATTTCTGAATTGAATCTTTGTCGAGTTTAATTTAAAAATAACTCTAAAAACACTTTGTCATTATGGCCATTAGAAAAGAAATAAAATAAGAAAAGATAATATAATTAGAAAAGATAGGACAAAGTATTTGGCGTACGCGCATATTTTTTTATTAAAACTTTATTGCAACAGTTTAAGGGCTACAATTGCCGAACTTATGCCTTATTGCATGCTCTACCAGTCAACCCTTCGTGTAAAGCAGATGGCAGCTTATGCACACGCACGTGCTCATATTTACACACATTAACCGAGAAAGAATCTATTGTAGTTATTGAGAAGGCGCTCCAATTTATCAAGACGAGATTAGGATATGCTCTGGTAACGAACATCTGCATAGTCAATAACGGGAAAAATTATTTGCACAAGGAAAAGCTTAAAAGCGCAGGAAATTTTAACAATAACTCCGGCTGCCTTTCTTTCGTCACTACAAAGTTAAAATAAAACAGAGGTTTTATTACAACAACTACCGTCGAGAATTTGCTATTGCTAGACTTTTAAATTTACTGTACGAGCTAGCGTTAGTTCAGCAGACAATAGAGCCGTATTTTACGCCTTATCCACACACTTTTTTTAATCCTTCTATTGGAATGTATGACTAAAGGGCGGGATTTTCCATATATTTAGCAACTAGACAATGTTTGTGACATGAATGGAAAACGTACCTGTAGAATAATTAAAAGTGTTATATCGGTGTGACTGGAAAAATTAGGATTCCATAAATATGTTTAGTATCTAAGCTAATACTACACATGGTTAAATAAAACTGTTTATATGATTCAGTTCACGAATCGAAATGCCAAGAAATTAAAAACTTAATATAAAATTTATAAGTAAAATATTTCTATGTAAGCAACTTAATATTGTAAATATAATAACAAATAAATGTGTTATTATATAACATTACACTTTTTCTAATTTCACTGCATCTTTTTTTTAATACTTTAACAAAAAGGAAATTCAAAGGCAATGAAAAACGTGTTTAGGGATAAAAGGGATCACTTGTAATTATAAGTTACGTAGGCTGTAGCCGTGACATAGAAGAAAAGGTTAGCTACAGCAAACATTGTATTTTTATTTTATTAACTAAGTCCACAAACTCATGTGAAGGTTAACGAGAAGATTTTATCATTTCCATACTAAATTTTAAGTAGCGAATGAAATATACAGACTATTTTTTTTTTTTTTTTCAAAATATACGTACACTATGTCAATACTCGTACATAGCATATTGTTGGAACAGGTAGCGGCTCTGTGGGCAGCCAATGTGTCCGCATTCATCGGGCCGCAGGAGACTTGTGTACACGAGGGACGAATGGCCGCCGCATTCAACCTGCCCATGGTCAGCTACGTAAGTACCATCAATGTTGCATAACGCCGCGTGACTTGCCATCACATTAACCAGATTACGCTGACATGAAAGCTCGTATTAAAAGATTCTTGAAAATGGCCATTTTATACTTTTTGTCATATCATTGCATGCATTTTTTAAACTTTTGATATGATTCAAGAGTGAATTTTGTTACAATTATTCAATTTTTTTTTATTTAAAAATAGATAATACAAATAATAAAAAACCGGTAAATCTGCTAGCATAAATTTAAAGTATTTTTAGAAAGAAACCGTTAAATGTAAATATAAGGTTATATGTTCTATACTGCCGACAATACTTTTTCTATTTAAACTTTTTCAGCACAAATTCCTTTTTTAATTTGAAATGTTGTCGCTAACGTTTCACCTGATATTAAGTGATTACCGCCGCCCATGGACATCTGGAACTACTGAGAGTTTGTAGAAGACTTGACAGGCTTCACTCGACAGACGGAATGCGAAAGTATAATACTTCCACTTCACGCCTGTCTCCTGTGGGGCCATGATTACTACCTCGTATGAGCCTGCCCATTCGTGCTACAGTAGAAGATGCTGCGTGGCCCTAACATATTAATAATATTGACTATAATATGTAGATTGAGTAATATAGCATTTAACTATCATGCATATGAAGGATATCAGTGAATTAAGTAATGAAAACCATTGTTTAGCTTCATCGTGATTTTATCATCTTTATATCTTGATTTCAAGAATCTCCGTGGAATCGTGCCAGACACGTCTATAGAGATAAGAGGTTGTGCAAATGCAACGTTCAATATGCTGACAGGTGGAGGAAGCTCCTTTTTTAAATAAATAATTAAACAGCCTTTTGCAGAAGCAAAAATGCCGTGGTAGTACGAACTTTGCGTTTGATGTTGCACGAATGGGCTGGCTCGTCCGGTGAAGGACCAATACTTCCCAGTTATACTTTTGCGTTTCGTCTGGTGTGTGAGAATTGCGAGATAACCGGGGCCCACTTTATTAAATGATGGACCTTACGAGTGCTGCAGATGTCCTTTAATGGGCGGCAGTTACCACTTAATATCAAATTAACCGCCAAGTCAGCAGAACATTTATATTGACAACTCCTTAGAAATTTTTTGCTTATTTATCGCAGTAATTTTTGTATGTAAACATAATTCTATAGGTTTATGATTCAAATATGCTATTGTAGAATGTATAAAATGTTATTTGCATCAAGAAAACCCGTAAAGAATTTACAATCGAGATCAAGTTCAGGTCATTCATTGCGCAATTTACATCGTAAAGTTTAAAGCAGTTTCGAAAATTAACATAACTGCTGCTGAGATATTAAAGCGAACTTGTAGTTTCCCTGAAGACTACTACCATTATATTTAATCATAGAAAAAAGTACAAACAATGTTTCCATGACTGCACAGTTTCTTTCTAGTTCATTCCTGAATCTGCGAATCTTTGTTTTGTTAATGTTACTTAGTTGAAACTTTGACTACATATCATCGTGTCGATAAAGGATACTTGCTACTAACGTGTGTACGGCGTGTTCGTTCGTGTTCAGTCAACAAACGGGAAGTTCGACCAGTTGTTTTTTTTTGCACAGTTCTGCCGCGACGTGGCGAACTCTAACAAGCGGGTGTACTCAACATTCGCACGCACTCGCCCCTCCGACATTGATATCTCCCGCTCCGTGGTCGCCGTGCTCACACACTTCAAATTCATGCATGTAAACATTAAATGTTCTATTGTTAATCGATATACCAAACGATAAGATTAGAAAACGCAATCAGCATTAAATTACATATTTCATAGAGATATATTTAGAATAATATATTCGAGCAACCTGTGTTCGATCCCTAATGCCAGCCCCAATGAAATTGTTCAATTTAAGTGCTGAATTATCACGTGCTCAGCGGAAATAGAAAACGGTGAAGGAAAGCATCGTCTTCCTCACGTAACCTACATATTTTCGAAATAATAAAAAAAAACTTAACTTACTTTTTACCAATTGGATTCCAATTACAAAAGTGCCGTAAAATGGAATATTACATACGTACAGATGTATAGATGAGACCGATATTTGACGATATTATTTAAATATTGAATGATTTATTAACACTTCATTGTGCCCTAAATTCGACGAGAGGATCTCTTTTGCAGATCGGCGTAGTCTACTTAAAAGCACAAAATCATGATTTCTCTCGATTGGCAATGGCAATCATATCGGCGGCAAGGGAAAAGCAGATATCAATTCGAACCATCCAGGTATATCGGCAGCCGTACTACTACGAGAACAAGAGGGAGAATATAAGCCGCAATCCCTTTTTGGATGTCATTAAAGAAACCTACAAAGACACGCGAAGTAAGTTTTTCTAAGTATAATAACCATTTGCATGATTAAGGTTAATCTTGATTCCCATAAAATAAAGTTACGACAATTCAACGGAAACGCGTTACAGCGATAACCCGTTTATATAGCACCCGATTTTTAAATAATATTTACCCTGTATGTATGTAATATGTACCTGAACTAAACATCTAAAATAAAATAAAATATTATTAAATAATAGGTACATTAATAATAAATTAAATTAATATTTATTACTTTAATTTTACTTTTCACTTTTACTTCAACTGCGTATAAGGTTACGCGCACTAATTTTTATTTTTTAATTTTAAATATTTAGAGCTGGTCTTATGCACTTAAAATGCAACTTCAAAATGTGTAGATAAATTTGTCGAACCTGTCCACCTTTCGGTTTAGCGGTTAGACGCTAAGTTAAGTGTCAAAACGCGTAATCCGGAAGTCGCAGGTTAGAATCCTAGCAGCAGCGAATTTTTAAACTTTTTTCATTTTTATAAAGCTACTATTTCGCGTACACTTTTATTAAATATGAAATATGCCTATTATAGGCTTGTATCCTATGACTTAGTTAAGTAGATTGATCCTCAAAAATGTTTCATGAAAATTATATTTTTTAAATCAACGCGACTTTTTCAGTTTATGTATCAGTGGGATATTATCATGATCATATTGGACTTATGCTGGCCCTGGACTCTTTAAAACTTCTAGATTCAGGTGAGAATAACATAAATAGATTATATTATATTATATATATTATATTTTATAATTTCTGAAGTTAATTATTTACTCAAAAGAACAGACTTTAAATTTTCTTCCTCAATAATGTGTATTAAATTTAAAAATTCAGATATAGATATAGAAATGAAGTAATCTAAAAGTAGGAATTCGTCAGACTGAAACAACCTTCATCTTAGCTAGTCAGTCTATCCAACAATAAACATTGATTCTCTGTAATTGAATTTCTGGACGATAAAATCTGCTCAACTTTAAAGTTTAGACCCTTTGAAAACTACGTCCACGATCTAATGTTAAAAGTCTGAAGTTAAGGATGACGAAATAGCTGCCAGTACAAAGGAAATATATATATATCTGGCTGGAATGTAGTTTTATTATATGAGCAATGGTCTGTTGAGATGGACGGCTTACGAGTTGCTATACAATAGCGAACAACGCAATGAATGAAAAGTAGCCTAAGTCATCCAAGAAAGAGCAATATTGTACCGTTGAATTATTTGTACATTCTTGACTCTGCACATTATTTTTGTATGAAAGATATCCAAGAATCGTGTTGCATGTTGGTATCACTGTGTTTTACTTCTGGAATTTGACTTTAATTTCGTAACATCTGCATAAACGTTTTGAAGTTTAACGATGTAATAAAACCATGATGAAATAAATTAGGATATTCTCAGAAATATGTGCATTTACTGTAGCGTGACGAAACTGTGTTTTTAAATTTGATTCGCTGACGATAACGGAAACACGAAACATGCTGGAAACGTCTCCCTTAATGGAACAGATCGATCACGCGAACATATATTCTGTCACTAAATCCACTTATTTACAATTACATTTTACCTATGTACATCGAAAAAACCATTTGGGTGAATAAACCAAGCCACGAACTCCACAAAAGGAACCGGATAAGTTCAAAAGATTTATATGACTCATTTCGCTTTGTTACGATTATTTCAATTGAATACTTGTCGTCCTATAACAAAAGTCACATAATAAATTCAGTCAAATGTACAAATTTTGAAGTTAAAAATATCTTACACTAATCCATCATTTAATCAGCCATAGCGAATGATCCCAAATTCTCGTGTAAACAAACTCGATGATAACGAGTTACTCGATGATAACGAGTTACTCGATGATAATTAGTTACCCCAAAAAAATCAGTTCTCATTAGTAGTGATGAAATGTAAAACATTTCAAATGCCAGGACAATTTACGAAACTATAATAACCACATAAGAAGGAAATAATAAAAAGCGCGACACCAATTATTGTTACTTAAATATTCTTATTTTGTATTTAATGATTACGTTACGGGAATATTGTTTGTTTTATAATTTTTATAGCTCATAAGAACTTTCTCACTTTTAGGAGCTTAAGTGTTGGTTCGTGTCATTCTTACGACCTGTAAAAATTTTAGAACCGGTCGATATAGAATTAGGGTTCCACACGTATTTGATTTAAAAGGCTATATTAAAATTAGGCAGGAAAGAAAAGATACAGATTTGTCGCAATCGATACACGGTCTTTTATAAAGGCTTAAAACTTTATTGCTAGTTACATTAAGTGAGGAAACCATAGTTATATAAAATGAATATTACAAAACCCCCGTACAACTTCATCATTACAAATGGACTATGTTATTATACATAAATATATTATTTTTTATTAAGCTTACTTAGTGATACAAAATAGAGTTTTGACAGGGGAATACGCTGCGATTGGTGTGGATGTGGACAAGTATGAATCTGAGGAGGCAATACGGTACCTGTCTGGGCCTCTACGTAAGGAACCGTCGCCAAGAACTCTCCACGCGTTCCGCTCTTATCTCGCCGTCGCAGCGTCACCATCGCCATCGTATCCAGCGTTCGCCCGGGAGGTCAACAAAAGGCTTCAGATGCCCCCGTTCAACTTCACGAACCCTCTACTCACTTTAGGGGGAGGAAAAGTGGTAAGTCAAAACGTCATTGAAGTTTATTTATGGGAAAAGTTCAGATTACGATCAAGCCCATCGACATCTGCAACTCCTGAGGGATATCAGATGCGTATACCCTTAAGTAAACTGGCTTTTGACTATCTCACTTACCAGCAGAAAAGCGTAATGATTTTTAACGCTGGTCTTTTGTGAGGCCCCAGAGTAGCCTACCATTGTTGCAACAGCAGAAGCTGTTCGTGGCTCTACCACATTATTTATCATTCTGTGTTTTATTTATATTTAAAAAGCAGATTTTATTATCTAGCAGTGGTTTAAACAATATAAAAAACTTACACTTCATGTAGTATAAATGAATTGAATAAAGGTTGTCTCTCGATATTGAATTATTGATTGTAGATACAGATAATTTGCTATGCAAAATGTACATTCTCTCTAACTCCGTACTTTATAAGAAGTTTCGAATAAAAAACTGTAACAAAGTCAATATCCTAGGATTCGAATAATACGTATGCGCATAACAAAAATCTCTCTCTTAAGTTCGATTCGTTTAACGCGGAGCCAATGTGCTGTTTGTGAATTCCACCACCCGCGAAGGGCACTATTTTTACACAACCAATAGCGTTCAGGAATAATTTTAAGATACGAGAATAATATAACAGATAGATGGATCGTTTGTATGTTTACCGGAATCATTTTTATCAGTGTGTTCAAAGTCAAAGTTTTTTTATGCAAATGCCAATGTAGGCTTAATTTAAACTATTATTGAAAGTAAAAAAAAAACCACCACTTCACTAAACTAGACCTGACTAGGGAAGAACCGGCAAGAAACTCTGGTCTTGTTACAACTGTTTTTACTTATACAATTAAAAAACTTATTTAACTATAAAATCAGCAGCTAGCAGGGGACTTGCAGGTGTAGAGCAAGTGATTTCCACACATCCTTGTCCTCAATGTATTCTTCGTCATTATAATGGGCACTTGCTAGGATAGCTTTTACGAAATGTTTGAAATCGTTTATACCTAGTTGTTCATTGTAAGGGATAATTCGTTAAGAAAACTGAAACAGATCCCAGTGGAGGCGGCGTGTGCTTCACGACTCGGTGTGGGTGTATGCAAGGGCACTCGCCGCTGCACTTAGTATAGGAGAGGACCCGAGAGACGGCCGAGCACTGGCGCTTCATATTAGGAACACCACCTATCGCAGCGTAATGGGGTAAGCAGTACTCAATGCAACCGAAGACATTACATGCCAATACGAGGTACAGTGCATTCAAATAACGCCCGAGGGTGAAGTTTTTCAATTCTATGGACAGCTATCTCTTTCCGTATCATACGTTCCATATCATCTGTCACATGCATTTATATATGTCATATAATGTAAAGTGGAACAAATTTTAAACGCCACGCAGTATCTTTATTAAAACATCATTCTACTACATATACTACATATCCAATCGCAATATGTTTTCTGGTCGTATCCTAAACTAAATAGAATCTATATGTATACTAGCTGTCCCGGCCAACGTTCCTTTGCCATATATTATATATTTGTAGGGTAGAAAAGAATGTTTGGGGTGGACCAACCTTAACATTTAGGGGGATGAAAAATAGATGTTGTCCGATTGTCCAACCTGGCCGATATGCACACATAATTTCAAAAATCGGTCGAGCCGTTTCCGAGGAGTTGCGCAATCGGTATGAATCTTCGCAATATATCTAGTCGTGCTACTAACAAACTTAACCGGAACGAAACAAGCTACAGAACGAAAAATATCTGATAACTCTTAGAGTCTTCCATTCCTTAAATAAACGAAAGAGTACAATCAAAGAAAGCAAGAAAAAGGCTATAAGAACAGTTAGTTTAATATTGTACATTACATCGGTGTCGCTATCCGGAGCTCGGAAGGACGATAAAAAGAAATTGCCGTGGACGGTGTCGACGATAAACGCGACTTGGAAGGAACAGCAGCATTGTCACATAATATATATCTAATTGTGCATGCCTGCTGCGTACAATCGACAGAACTATGCTACGAGTACATTTTGGGAATTATTCCGTCGCCACTTCATTGGGATGCAGCGAGCATGCAAATTATAAAAAAGTAGCCTTCCGGGCATTGTGAGCGTCTTTTCGCCTGCCCTCTCTCCATGCTACGTTACGCTAATAGTTTTTATTGCTTACTCGCTCTATTAATAGCTCCGTGCTTTGCATAGTCTCGACTTTCAACCGACCTCAAAAAAGGAGGTTCTCAATTCGGTTGTATTTTCTTTATATTAGTTATCTCAAAACTAAGTAATTTATGAAAAGATTTTAAAGATTATTTTAGCTTTAAATTTCTAAGAAGCAATGGCGACATCTCTCGTTCGAATTATCGTTGTAAAACGATATTCGAAATTGTTTGTATGCTGGAAAGGATAAAACAATGGATGCGCCAAGCATTGCTTCAAATGCTAAAAAACAATGTAGATAAAAGACGTTAAGATTTTCGTCGCTGTGGCTAGAGCGTCAGGCCGCGAATGCCGAAGACGTGGGTTCGATTCCCACAGCGGCGACAATCTTTTCGTACTTTTTCTACAAATTTTAATGTTCAATCTTAAGTGCAGAGATTAGCACTATAAAAAACTTTAATTTCTTTTTTTTTTGTTAATCAGCTACTGGGTGCATATGGATGAAAACGGCGATGCTGAAGGAAACTACACTCTTCTGTCTATGGATCCGGAGCGCCCCCCGGGACTGTACCCGCTGGCCGTCATGCACAAATCAGCGCCGGTATTGTTTGCCAAACGTTTTCTTTAAGACCATACAACAATGGGACGGTATATGAGGGGTTAGTGACGCATTGACCGAACTGATCTCTTGAAACTAACGATTAACGATAACTGTTGTCCCAAGTTCGAACCCCAGCAGTGTTAAATAATTTTCTGTAACAATATCTGCAATACAAGAACATCTGAGGATCAGAATTCATACGTCTTCTATTCCATTTTTCGTTCTCACTACGGCATGTTGTTTGTACAATAATAAACATTTAAAAAGAAACATTTACTAACCTTCAAAACGTTACGATATTACGCCATTACTGTACTTGCTATAATCTAAGAATCGCAGTTCAAATAACGTATCGTTAAAAGAGTTTCTTACCGTCCAAAGATCACATTAGTTAAAAGGTTGAGTGAAATTTGCAGAGTTCGGATGAGTCAACTTGTGAAGGGTAAACGTTGGCGAATATAGTTTTTTATTTTGAAAGAGATGAAGTGAATTAATCGGTATAATAAATCATCTACTGTTATAATCTGTTTGCGTATAAAAGATAAATTGCTTAAAATAAAAACACATTTCAATTTGGTCGTTCGCAACAATATACAACACTAAACATTTGCGTTAAATTAGTTTATCCTCTTAACAGATCAAGGCGTAGATGTTACAAATATTTACCAATTTATAAATAGCACATACGGAATCCACCGTCAAAAGAGCCCGGTCGCGTCGCGAATCTGCTCTCGGCCTGAATTTGACGCAACTCGGAAATATTTCACTTGAACTACTTCGGCCTAGAAGTTGTCAACCAAATGCCAAGAAAGCTGATGTTATTTGTAGATAACGTTAACATCGATTATTTACGATTTCAAAATATAGCCAGCGTCTGCCCTAAATATGCTTAATACAAATATTTTGTTGATCGTTTTGTTTACCATGTGTAGTACAAGATGTTATTCGTATTTAATACGAAAACATGTTTCTTATGAACAACACTTTAATGTGTAGAATAAAATCTGAAAAAATATAGTCGTAATAAAACTTATTTAACTACTGTTCTAACATCTTTTTCGAAGGTGACGGAGTATTTTATTTCAGTTATTTTGTATAACTGCGTTAGTTAGGTTAGTAACTGCGTGGGACCAATGCATACTTATATTTTATATTATAAGACATTTTTCGACGTTTATATATATGTAACCATTTGTGCAAGTTCTTGTATCAACTTATTATCTTTATCTTCAAAATCATCTATTCGATATAGAAATAAAAAAAAATTCTGAATATAATAGAAGAGAAAACCAATAGATTTTGTCAATAAAATTTAATTTTAGTCAAAGAATGCAATGACAGACCTATTTCTATTTCCTTTTAACTCGCCTTCCCTCTAAGAATATCCAAAGAATCTCAAATAAAACATCCATGGTTGGCAAGCCGTGTATATACGAGTACGGTATTATTCTTGTAACTTATACTCTCGCGAAAATAATATGAACAATAACCAGTAAAATATCCATAGATTCATTACTTGACATTAGTTTCATTAAGCCTTTGTTCCTAACGAGTGCACTAATTTGTGTATCACAATTCCTCGTTTACTTATTTACATTACTAAATATAGGAATATTATTACACTAAAGCGCCGTGATAGTTTATTATCCGGGCGTTCGCTTTTAATTCAATATAGTCGAACAACTTGCGTTCAATCCTTGGTGCCGGCACCAATGAAATTGTTAATTTTAAGTGCTGACTTATCACGAGCGAAAACTGTATATTTTTCAAAAAAATAACAAATTATTTCTAGGATATGTGATGTCCGACAATTCGCAGTAGGGTCGCGCGGTGGACGTAGCCTTAGTACTCTCTGTACAGAAGAGGCCTTTGCCCAGCAGTGGGACATAATGAAGGCCGTTACTTTACTGTTTCTTTTACTTATGCAGGAGTTGAGATTCACGAGGGAAATGAAGTGGCCCGGCGGCCAGGTGCCCCTCTCCGAGCCGCCGTGCGGTTTCAGGGGTGAAAAATGCGTCAGTAAGTACATCGTTCTTAATACACATACCAAGGTCGCGCGTAGCAACATAATAGAGCGCCCCAAGAGCTCTACCCTAATGGTTACATATTCGCTCCACTCGCTCCATTACTTAAGGTCGGCGATTCAGCCCGATGTAGTAAAAAAGCTAATAGGTTGCAGAGTCGCCGGGGTCCACATTAAACGCAAGCCATGTAGCGACGTCGAGTGGGGTCGTAACGACGAAGGCCATCGCCCGCACGGATCCCGCGGCGCTAACACGCCGAGAACGTTTTAGACCTTAACGCACTTTTCTACGCCCTTAACTAACCGTAAATACAAAAACTTATTATACACTTTAATAAGTTTTATAATAGTATGTCATAAAAATAACGTAAGCCCAATTTTCAAAAGGTTGTCAACGCATCTGGAACCCTCGGGTGTAGCAGATGTCCATGGGCGGCGGTATTCACTTAACATCTGGTGAACCGTCTGCTCGCTTGGCGACTTTTCACATAAAAAAAATGTTAGAAATTGATACTTAAAGTTCGACCCGCAGCTGAGCTTTCGGTTTCGAATAGCTTCATGTAAAATAGGTAGTTGTATGATATATCTACATCTGATTATTTAGAAGGCGGCGGTAGTAGTATTTTGACAATCAACCAATAAGTCTAATGCTCTATATCGATTGATAATATTTTCATTTAAATTTGAATTAGAATTTTCTGGGGCAATCGCTGTTTGAGCTTTCGTATATATAATAGCCATTTTTGCGGATTGTTGAATAAAGGCCGAGGTGTATACTTAAAGATTTTGCCTTTGATACTATGGGTCCATGGCAAAATATAACAAATTTTATATTATTATAAAATTAATTTTGTTATTTTATAATATTATAAATTTTTATATGTAGTATTTGTTCGGTTGTGTTGTTTTTGTAGTTTATCTAGGAACTTGACACAAATAATCATAATAGATAAAAATTTACAATAAAAGCTTACTGATAATTTCGAAAATTATCCTAATTTATCCATATTTCATTTTAAATTTCTGTTAATTATTTTAACATGTGAATAAACAAATCTAGTTATTGTTTTGTTTCGCACATTTATGTTACATAATAATGTACCTACCCAAATCTTGTTAATTAGTCTATTGATATGAAGCAGGAACTTATATTTTATATCGAATGGTCAATTATACCACAACCATTGGCTACTTAATTAATACTGATTAGAAAGGACACTTACTAATCACCTTGATTTAATTTTTATGATCGCTGATTTAATCAACGTTCAGTGTTTTTTGCTTCAGTTGAGACCTCGTTTATTGTCGACGTAAGTTAAGCATATTTCCTCAAAATAATAATTATGTGAGATCTTATGAAACAACTTAATAGCCTTAAAATAAAAAGTCTCCAAGATACTCAAATCTGATTTTTTATAAGATTTGAAACTAAATTATGAATTAAAATTAGTAGAAAAAAGGCCGCAAAAGCTTTTTTCGCCGCTGCATGAACCGAACCCAAGCCTTCCTTCTCCAGGCGCCAAAGCTAAACTTCTGATTGCCACACCAATGGAAATCTTAATGTCTTTTACACATTGCTTTTTAGCATTTCAAGCAATGCATGACGGTGGAATACGTGAAAAAGCTTTTCGTATTTTTTCTACAAATTTTAATCTTTCATCTTAGCTGTAGAGATTAGTACAATCGTCATCATCATCATTATAGCCTGTTTGAGTCCACGGCTAAACATAGGCCATAGGTCTATGGGGAATAGACAGCCACAAATTACGATCCTGAGACACCTGCGTCCATCGACTTCCCGCACATTAGTACAATAAAAAAATAAATTTCATAAATTTCATAAATGGTTCTGCGCGTCAGTTTAATGCCAGCTTTATTACAAAAGTAGCGTGAGCACTAAGAGAACTGATAATTCGGAGACTGCAACACTTAACTGGCAATAGATTATTTCATTCGCGAAGTTCAAACTTCAAGACTAGAGTAGAAAACGAATTTTATTTTTGTAACGTTTCCACACTATATAGTTTCTTTTCTTCGGCGAATAGTCAGCCATACGTAATATTTCAAAAGAAAAAAGAAATGAACGTATCTTGTCACCGAAGCCAATGATCAATTGCTGATTGTATCCCTTGCGAATACAACCTTTCAGAAACTTAGCGCAGCAAAACCCCACGGAGCTGTTGTTTTTGTACTCAAGCGAATGGACCACCAAAGGCAAATTCTTTGCTAGGATAAAAAATATGTTTATTATATTATATGATAATAGATTGATGTTAAGCAGTTTTTATTCCTGCAACGTAACTAAATAAAGGTGATACGTATCAAATAATGCAATTTTAAAGTTAATGTACTGAAACGTACAATTTTGTAAAAAAAAGGTGGTAAATATTTTAAAAAAAATGTGTTAATCTAAAAATAGCCTTCATAATCAAAAGTCTGGAGAAACCAATAAGACAGCTAACTAAACACATCCTTAACGGGAGCTTTGAATATTTCCAAGACAACTGCAATGTCAGAGTCTAGACTTTAGCATTTTTATTATATTGTAAATTACAGAAAACTGGACAGTTTTAATTTTATTTTTTAAAGTAAATTTTCATTGACTAAGATGTCTAAGATGACTAAGATTGTAAGATCCTAAAAGTTATGCGATGTCGCTAACTTTATTTATTACTCTGCATCAGGATATTTACTGACGCCCTTAGTTTGCGAAACCTCCAGGAGAACAATATTTATTTTCTTCCACTGGAGTCGTTTTTACTAAAAAAAAACAACATTTATATATTAATAGACATAATTTGATACTCAAAGCTTAAGATAAAGAGTAAAGTGACACAAATGTACATAGCACAAATGCAATGTAATTAGACAGACTAAACAGCTATGCAAAAGAGTATTCACAAAACCACTTCATATCACGGACTATTAAAATAATAAGTTATTTTTCTAGTCCGTGCTTCATATAAACCATACCGCCGTCGTTATTCGTCATTAAAAACCTTTGATTTTGATGCAAGCTTGAGTCTACATTTTTGCTCAATTTGTTTGTTCTATTTAAACAGTTGTTCCCATTACTCTGGAAAACATGTAGACTTCATATAAAAGAGATCGTTATCTCCCTTTGAAAAACGGGTGGCCGTATTTAAAAGTTAAAACATTTACAGTGTAGTACATTTAATTTAAAACGAATTTTTAACATAAGATTAAACGAATTCATGAAACGAATGCTGATGTAGAACATGTTACGACACAAAAAACGTTTTAGTGCCCAGATGTATAATTAGTTTGTTTCTAAAATGTTTGTAGCGTCAATAATCGTTGTAAACGGGATGTTACTTTAAACTAACAGGAATTACTTCAAGCATAAATCCTTAACGTGACAAAGTAATGACTTCTTGAACTAAATAATTGATAATTAATGATCACTAAAATGTATAGATATAAATAATATTTAATCTATATCGATCTGTATATGTATTTTACCTCCAAGACGGCTATACCCATTTAGATGAAATTTTCAGGCAATCATCAGATTAGGCCAGCGGGTCACCCTGTGAAGTTTGATAACGATCGGTTCAACGGATTTTTTTATATAAATAGTACCTTTGCAATAAGGGACGGGTGTTAGTATACATAAAAAGGGATGTAACGTTCAGAGTAATTAATGTATAATTGTTGGGTCAATGACTTGCAATCTTAACTTTTTTTTGTCAACGAAAAGTAAAAGAAATATAATCAAACTCTTATTTTGTTTATTTAATACGCACAAAAGGAACAAACAAAAAGGAACACTTTGTGCTCGTACGCAATGTTTTCAAATGTATAAAGATAATATTTTTCATGTTTCAAATTCCGTATATTATTTTCGGATGGCTTGGAATAGTTGTATATTCGTTTATTTTTTCCCCTTATATTTAATACTCTGACTTATCTTCATATCCCTTTCGTAGGATCCTTCGTGAAAAACAATGCTGATATGTTGATACCGCAAAATTGAACGTCTGTTGCCGTTGTATTTCTGTTTTCTAATGATAATATATTTTGTAACAGGTTTCCCTTTTTATTTCGATATATGCCTTTAATATTTTAAAATAAACAAGATTAATTTGCGATTAACTAAATTTGAAGGCATTTCGTTCGTATCATAATCGTTTTTCTTTTTTATTTTTAAATAGTGAAACGTTTAGCAGCAACATTTAAACAAACAAGCAGAAATTATTAAATAACATAAAAATCCCGACTGCGTAAAAAATAGTAACTATTCCTCTATTTTTCTGTCGGATAACATATTCAAATAATATATGTTTTGAAATCTGTCGAGAATTTTTAGGCTGTGGAGTGTGCCTAAGAATTATGTTTACATGCGTACATTCATACATACATACGTTCAAAACACATTACCCTCTGTCAGTAGACTGCTAAAATAAACCAGATAGAACCCACCGCCAATATCATAAGTTCAAATACAAACACGTAATAACAAAGAGAATGTAATCACTACGTTTGGTAGTAATTTCTTGTATTTCTCGTATGCTACCCATTCGTAAATAAAACTTTCGTTTTTAAATTCTTCGATATTTCGAACGCTTTACTGCGTCTATGGTTTTTTTTGTGGCCAGGGATAAATCAGGTCGTTGAAAGCAATTGGTACGTGTTGTTCAATTTTATTACATTCAATTTAGAAGAATACAATTTCGAAATTATTTTTGATTTCAAAGAATTTGAATGGTAACAGTATCTCTCACTTATCTATGTTCTTCTAATTGAATGATCGTCTTATGTATGTAATGTCTTATTTCGTGTGCCTTATCTAGTGACTCTAATTCCACAAGCAGACGACCGTTGTCGTCGTACAGATAATAAGGTTATTCAATTAATTTGGTTGAATGCCCCAATCTAGTGATCGTAAGCTCTCACTAGTCCTGGCCATAGAGCTTTTTATTAACTTTATAGTTTAGTTTACGGTCCGTAAGTTGGCAAGTATCGCAATAAATCGATTTCAGACATGTAACTATGTTTTCATCTAAATTGTGACATCGATAAAAGATGAATATATTCTTTTTAATATTGACCTTTTTGAAATAAGGGCTATTTTAAAAAGGTCAAAATTGTAGTGGTTCTCTTTGTGTTTTCTGAGTCATCTTTTTTTATAAGGTGGCCAGTGTCGCCATATGCCACATTTATTACGTATTAGACTAATCAATCTGTGCATTTATTCGGAATGTTAACGGGCAGAAAATAGAGTAAATACAGCATTACCTATGCATGTATTACAAAGCTTACTTACCCTTTGTTCCGATTAATCTCGATCAACCGTTTAACGAGTAAAGTTTGGAGCAAGATTAATTAAGCTGTCAGGAACAATTCACGTAAAGGCTTTTACTTCCCATCCAGGCCATGTTGGCGCGTGGGCATTGGGTGCTTCGGGAGGTACATTGGCATTGCTGGCATTGGCAGCGTTGGCACTGTACCGGGGGTGGCGGTACGAGCAAGAGCTGGACTCGTTGCTGTGGAAGATTGACTTTCGCGACCTCCACCTGCCCGACGACGAGCAAAATGACAACAAACTGAGTAGGTAAACGGAACTTCTGTATGTTGTTCGCATGCATGTTTTATTGCAATTTGCATTGGCGCGCTTGTTTCTGAAATGTGGTACATTAAGAAGCACTTTTACCGACGAAAATTATATACATAACTGTGATGTAGGCAAGATCCATCTTTTTTTCGCGCTTAAATGAAGTTGGTTAATGGTGGTTTGGTTTGGCGCTTAAGTAAAGGTTCTCCGAGGTCATTTCATGGCGACACACATGACCAGCTTGTCCAACCCTTTTTGTTTTGCCTATTATAACTGTTGTTGTTGAGTATAATCTCGAATTACCACTACGTATAAAAAACCCGCTTAAAACTTTTAACTTTTGGAGAGTGTGCGTTGGAGTTACATGATCTTATTCCTCCCGCCCCTTTCCATCATCGGACAACCAAGCGTTCGGCGGGGCTCCATCCTTATTCTGTCGACGTTCCACGTACAAGAACAAAGCGATTCGCTTCTTCATTTATCATCCGTACAGCTAAGGAATGGAATAGCCTGCCTGCGTCCGTCTTTCCGTCCGAATACAACGTTGGCGTCTTCAAGGCAAGAGTGAATAGGTTTCTACTGAGCTAGCGCGCTTACCATCAACGGCTGCATCGCCACTTACCATCAGGTGGGATGGCAGTCAAGTGCTAGCCAGTTTTTGAATTAAAAAAAATATATATATATGTAACTTATGGATGAATTCGTTAATTTTTTTGTTTTCTCCATGTTACTTTTATCATTGAAAAAATATATGAAGGCGTCGTTGGATGACAGATACGATTTCAACTAAGTTAAAGGAATAATGTAGGACTTCGACGAGTGCAACGAGCACGAATGTGATAGGAGGAGATAGACACGTGCTCGGAGAAGTGCCGGTCACTTCTTGTTAACAAATTTCTTGCAAGTACACCTTGCAGGTGCAGTATTCCCTCTTACTATTGACTCATTACTCCTGAAGCACAACATACATATTAAATATCTACAAATATACACATCCTTACTAATGTTATAAAGGCGAAAGTTTGTATGTATGGATGGATGTTTGTTACCCTTTCACGCAAATACTACTGACTGGATTTTAATGAAACTTTACAATAATATAGCTTATACATCAGAATAAAACGTAGGCTATAATTTATATACATATTTTTATGTTTATCTGTCTTTCTGTCTGAATGTTATGCCTTCAGCCTATTCTACGCAGACGTAGTCGGGGATAGCAGCTAGTTGTAAATATAAATGTGACCCACTACTAATGCAGTAACGTGGCATTTCACCTCAAAAGTTGGTCAGAGCTGATTTTTTCCAGCAAGATAGCAGCGCGGCGGTGAACGCCTCGTCGAACGAGAAGGGCGGGGGCGGGAGCACGGGCGGCGCGCGCTCCAGCCAGGTCTCGCTGAGCTCGAACCCGGACCTGGACTTCCGCTACTCGGCCATCTTCACCGAGGTGGCCTTCTACAGGGGGCGGCTGCTCGCCGTGAAGCGCGTCCGCAGACAGCACATCGACATCAACCGGGAAATCAAGAAGGAGCTCAAAATCGTAAGTCTTTAGCCACAGGAAATGATACAAAAAAAAACACCTGCGGATTACCAAAAGTGGAAAACAGCAGGCGCAAGTGTTGGTTAAGTAAAACAGTGTCTTTCACGGTGCGTTCTGTGATTATACAATTGTACATAAAATGTTCGAAACGAGAAGAGAGTTTGCATCGCCACTTACTATCAGGTGGAATGGCAGTCAAGTGCTGGCCGGTTCTAAATTAAAAAAAAAAGAAATTTAAAAATCAGTAAAATAATTTTATTTATGTGGCTATTATTCGCGAACATACACGGAGACATTAACACATATTTACTCGGTTGAATTTGAAAATAAAAAGGGCAGAACGGTACCTTTTTAGTTTCCAAACGTGTTTTAAGTTGTCTTTACGCACAAAACTGTGTACTTGAGTGTTCCACAAATATGGATGAATATTCCGCCCCAGTTCGAGCACCAATTTGACGGGTCATACTAACGAGTTAATTACGCACCTCCGCTTACACTGTTTCCTCGTTACTGAGAAGGGTCAAGTAATTTGGCAATATTTGTTGTGTGTAAAATGGGCTAACTCTATAGTTACGCTATACGACTTTCCGAGCAATGGCATCATATATAACAACAAACCTATTTTTACAAGTGCTGTTTATTTTATAGTTTCGTTTACCGGAGGCAATATGAATACGCCTTATATTTTTATTACGCAATACATAATTTTACAAATCAAGCAATAGTCCCCCGCCTGTTATACAATATAAGAAACAGGTAGTACTACAAATAGTTAATTTCAAAGCAAAGCAACCTTTGCAAAGCAAGCTTTTTGAAAAAAAAAACAATAAAACTACATAAACTACATGCTAAACGCGTACGGAATAAATATACAGACATTCATATAAAGAATAAGTCAACCATACGTAGCACTTACTTTCTATTAGTTCATTGCGCGCATACAGTAAACTTTACGTATATAACCGTCCCTTTCATTCACGCTTATAGAATAAAGACAGACGATTGATGTGTAAACTCTATTACGCGGATGAAAGAGTTTACTTAAGCTGAAATATGAAGTTCTCGTGTTATGCAAGAAAAGCTGTGTACCTCTAAGCCTCTTACGAAATCAAATACCTTATCAGCTTTCAACGCGCCGCCTAACAAACATATTTCTCGTACAATATATCTTACTTTATATGACGAAGCATGGGAGTAAAAGCTTATTACCATGTTTATATCTTTTTATACATGATGAGATAAAAAAATTATCATATCATTTATATACTACTTATTTTTTTTTATACAATCGTCAATGTTTTTTATAACCTAACCAGTGCAATTTTTTAATAATCTTTTCAAAGAAAGTTCGTTTCCATTACTCGTCTCACTACTCAGTCAATTTATATTAACAGGAAACATCCTGCTGTATAGGGCTTCTCAAAGTTGACAATAATCCTTAATTTGACTTTAGCGGAGAACTATGTAAGTATATAAGTTATAAACATCACACTCCCGAATATATTTTTTTTTTAAATTTCCTTTATGAAAGGTCTGCCTGGAAGAAATCGCTTTTTTAGGGATAAGGTTTCCCTTTGTACAACCATAATAGTAATATTTTTGTTGCTAATGCTTCTTTTGTTATGGTGTGTACAATAAAGTTTATAAATAAATAAATTCATATCGATACATATTATTATTATACAGGAAATATATGTGCATATATTCGCATCACAATGCTAATATCACTCCACAGGCGTATTTAATAGCTAAGATTTTCATTTGAATAGAACTCGCACAATACTCAGCGTGCCATTAAGAGCGTGCTGCGACAAATTAATGGGTATCGCAATAACATGTTATACATACTTGGGTCTAAGTGAATCAACTACCATTTAGACATTATCTGACTTTTTCATTTCGTTTTTATTTCTATTGCAATTTTTCATTTCATTTTTCCTTACGAGATTATGTGGCAAGAAGAAAATCACATCACGATTCGGACCGCAATTCACTTTCACGGTCCAAAGTATCTCCCTTAATACAAGGCAAATGCTTATTCCACTTGATAAGACAGATTGGGAGCGAAAGTTGTGCTCTGTATTTATGCGAACGTGAATAAAATTAATCCTGACATTGTTTATAGATAGCAAATAAATAATAATAAATAAATATTTCAGATAGATACAAACTCAGATACTTTAAAAACAATATTTTTCTTTAAACATTGCCCTTAATTTGAGGTAACATTATCTTGTGTTGCAAGGACGTTTACATAGATAAATTTCACGTGGACAAACACCAAGATGCGAAATAACTATCGGTGGGTCACACAAATAGTTGTCCCGTGTGGGAATCCAACCCACGACCCCAATGCCGAAGCCAATACCTTAGAAACTGCGCCACGGAATCATCACAATTTTTCTTCATTCACATTCATATTTTTACAGAACATTTTTTCAGTAGTGAATCGTATAGAAATCAAATGAGATCCACTACTGCCTTTGTACATGTAATTATTTATTTTCATTATAGAAATTTAAAAACTAAAATAAGTAAATTTTAAAAAGAAAAGTAAAAATCAAGTGAATATTGTAACAGCTCAGATAATTATTAATTCCGTTTTAGCTTAAACTTTTCTTAATTTTAAATAATTATAAAACAAGAACTGAGTTTTAGTTTGTTACATATGAATGCTGTTTAACACAATCAATTTAAAAAAAAAAGAATTTTAACATCTTTGTCTTTATACATAATATAATTCTTCTGTACGTGTGTATGTCATTGAACTCCTCCTAAACGGCTGGACCGATTTTAATGAAATTTTTATGTCAGGTCGATTCGAGAATGGTTTAGATTCACAATTCGCTCCACTACAATGTTTTTATTTAATTTTTTAGTTTATAAGTTGATGTCGGATTTAATTCGTTAATAGAATATTAATAAAAGGGCAGTATTATCGCTCATGCAATAATTCTTTACTATAAAGTATAATTTGTTGTAAAACTTAAATGATGTTTGTTTTATTTTATACATTTGCATAGATATAGATTTTAAATCCATCTCACAATTCAGATTGTACTCTTAAGCTTTTGCAATCATTTCGAGATATTATATTTTATTCTTTCTATTGAGTAGTGATCGAGTCTTTGAAATTATTGATGGAGAAACACTTAACTTACAAATTATTTGTTCGAAACTTTCCTATTAAACTTTCCTATTCAGACAGGCTTAAGCTTATTTCAATCTTTTGTAAAATCCAAGAACAAAACTCGTTTCACTATTTTAGAATAAAACCTTTATTTTAACTATATTTGAATGATCGAGGTATTGCTTTATACGTGATTTTTTCACCTCAGTATAACTATAGAGAGCTGTCTGTAACTTAGCGATATGTTTAAATTTTTATGTATAACTTCTATGAACAGGTAATAATTATTCTAAAAATATGTTGCAATAAATATTTCTCAGAAAAATACTGCCTATGAAAATATTTACGACCAATAGTTTCGCCCCTATAGCGGATAACTAACGTAGAGAGAAAATCAGTCGATAAAGCCTGTGAAACGAAACCCATGTCCTCTTGACGAGGGTTTGGCCTTCGTTGGTAGTAAAAGGTAGAAAAGTCGGTTTTCTTAAGAACTACAATTTATACACCATAACGCAAAATTTTTCAATGACACCTTAATTATATGAATAATCTTATTTATGGAATTACTATTAACCACATTTATAGTTTAAAATCATTTTGTAACAACGAAGTGTTTTCTGCGCTAAAAGTAATTTTCTTTGTTCATTCCTTATTGGAAATTGACACGGGCTTTATAGAGTTTGATAAATGTTCTCAAGGCAAAAACTGCATGATTGATAGCAGGGTACCGCAGGATTTATACATATTATGTCTAAAGAAACGCCAGTTTTGCAATGGCCATGATGAGTCGACTAAAGTGCCTTTTAGAATTCTATTTCCGATCTGTCAAAAGAAAAGTAGAGTAGAGTTTTATTATTTTTAATGTATTTTATTGTTTTTTTTATTTTGTCATGAATTTAGTTGCCTTTAAGTGAGTGTCTTCGTGCAAGTAATTGTTAAAGTGAATCACTTCTTTCTTGTCTAAGAACTAGCTAATTTAAAAATTAACTTTGGTAAGGCCACGCAACCGCTTCAGCTGTTGCACGCATGGGCGGGTCCATTCGCGTACATACCACGACCTCACAGAAAACTGGCGTGAAGTGGAGGTGTTGTACTTATGCGTTTCGTCTGGTGAGTGAGGTAGCCGGGGCCCACTTTATTTAAAAATGGCAACGCATCCGCATCTCTCCGGGTGTTGCAAATGTCCATAGTCGGCGGTTATCACTTAACAACGGCTGAACCACTAGCTCGCTTGTCACCTTCTCGCATAAAAAATACTAAAAGTAACCAGAAATGGAAGTTCTCAACAGGATAATAAATCTTACGTGCTATTTAAATACTATAAAATATTTAACAACTAAACACGTAAAAGAATAATCTAAATAAATGTCTATGTATTGAACAATATATAGAATCATTATTATACAAACATGATGTTTACCGAGTATGACATATTAATTTACTATTTGTTCAACGCAGATGCGGGACTTACAGCATGATAATTTAAATGGTTTTGTGGGCGCTTGTATTGAACCTCCAAACATTTGCGCTCTATCCGAATATTGTACTAGAGGGAGCCTAAAGGTAAACACATCAAAATTAATAATTTTATTTAGTTATTTAAGTATATATATTACGTATAGCGTTACGTCCTGAACAAGAAAAAAGCCTCGCTTATTATAATGAAATTTTCACAATTTCAAGAAATCGATGACGAGTGTTTTTAAATTTAAAATACTTTTTAATATACTTTATTCTCTTTAAGGACATCTTGGAAAACGAAGACATTAAGTTGGACAACATGTTTATCGCTTCACTGGTCGGAGATATCATTAGGGTAAGTACATTCTAGCAACTTGCATTTAGCAAAGTTTATCAACAACTTAACGTTAAGCAATGAAGATGGCAATTTTATGGAGGAAACTTTATACTAAATCCAGCTTAGAAAAGTAAACTTAGAAGTATATATCCAAGTGAACATTTGATAATGTGTTTGTTACATTGAGAAATTAAACAACTCCATTATAAAAAAGATGTAGAATTGTTATATTAACCGAAATAGCAATTATTTCATTGACTTTCCATGGTTTTTATGATATGTACTGCGTCAAATATCTTTAAATATTGTGTAAATAAATTTGAAATATTGTGAATGTAATGTAAATAATCGGCTAGGTGTTGAATTATTGTACAATACAGTAAAAAAAAAAGTAAAGTAACAGCTTATACATAACCCACTGCTGGGTAAGGGCTGCTCCGTACGGAGGGTATTAGGGCATAGTCAACCATGCAGCCCCGCTGTGGATTGGCGGACTTCCAATATCTCCGAAATATTTTCTTTTATTATTTCGAAAATATGTAGGTTTCCTCACGATGTTTTTCTCACCGCTGAGCACGGGATGAGTTAGCACTTAAAATTAACAATTTCATTGGTGCCAGCATCGGGGATCGAACTCAGGTTGCTCGAGTATATTAAATTAAAGGTGAGCGCCCGGACACTGAGCTATGACGGCTCCATACAATATAGTGGTAGAGTTCTATTTAATTCATGAGATAATGAGCCGTACTCCCGATCATGAAGCAGTCTTAGAATTTATATTTGAAGTTAATGATAATTTTTATTGGTCACGAGGCGGGTCATAAGTTCTGTCCCATAATGAAAACTTTTGAATACTGGTCTATTACCTCTGTATAGAGGGGGCCTTTGCCCAGCAGTGGGACATGTAGAGGCTGTTACGTTACATTACGTTATGCTAACTATATAATCCACTAACTTATTTTTATAATTTCTTAAGGGAATGATATTCATCCATGAGTCTCCTCTGCAATACCACGGAGCGTTGCGGCCTTCCAACTGCCTTGTGGATGCACGTTGGGTTGTTAAACTGGCAGACTTTGGCCTTAGAGAGTTTCGAAGGGGAGAGCTACCACCGTCAGAACCAAACGCATTGAGAGCCCATATTGAAGGCAAGTCAAAGATCTGATTAATAGATAAATAATTAAAAGAATATATTTATACAGTGACTCGACTAAATCTCGCAGGCGATTGTACATATGCGTTAAAATGAACGACACCAAGTTCTTGTGATTTTATTCGCTCATAGGAACCTTTACAAAGAAAGCCGTGAAAACAGAGAACCAGATCGTAGAATTCCGCATAGAAATTTAAAGGAGGGCCATGCATGGGCAACATTGTCCGGGGAAAGTGTCAGGTCGCGTTTCGTCTGGTGAGTGAGATAACCTGGGCGAACATTCTATAAAGGTTGTCAACGCAACTGCTAGCCTGCTTCTTCTTCTTCTTTGATCAATGGCCTCTCTTAAAAGAATTCTGCCAATTTCATGTCTGCTAGCCCTCCTAAACGTTCATGGAAGAATGTACGGTATTCATACGCGTTTTACTTAAAAAAAGTAGCCTTCTGACAATGCAAGCCACAAGACAGAGCGAGCGCGCCTCCGCAGGTCTGCTGTATCTATCGCCGGAACTGCTGCGCGCGGCCGGCTGGGGGAGGGGCGGGGTGGCGGGGGCGCACGGCTCCACGGCGGCCGACGCGTACGCGTTCGGGCTGCTGCTGTACGAGCTGCACGCGCGCCGAGGCCCCTTCGGCCCCGACGCCCCCCCCGCGCCCTCCCTCCTGCGCCGCATCGCCGCGCACGACGCCCCGCCTTTCAGGTAGGTACGTGTCTAGATGGACCGCTACGGCGCACCGCTGCGCCGGGCTCGTCGGCGTTCTTTGACCTACCTTTTTTTTTTTACGTGGGAGCAATCCTTTACGGATCCCCTGCCACCGGATCGGGGCAGTGGCAGGGGTGGTTGCACCTGTCTCCGTCGCGCCGGCCGGGGACACGGGAACACGTGGACGCAGTCTTCCGCGACCCCGGCACGATTATTGCTTTCCTAGGCCTCCTCTTCTCGGATGATACGACACACAGTCCGGCTAAATGGTGCTGTGCCGGTGCCGGTATTCTTTGACTTACCCTGGCAGATTCTCCCGTTTCCTGTTTGATACGAGCTTAGTACCGTAATGGATACTGTCGAGAAACAAAATATGGGTTTTTTCTTTATTATCATTTGAACGAACCGGAGTAAATTAATTACTCGAGCTGACTCATGATACGACACACACCGACAAGAAAAACTGGTGTTAAATACATCATTAGCATTTTATATGCATACGCCATACTGCTTGACATATTTGTCAAGGAATAGCAAGCAATTCGCTTCACGAATTTCACCTTTTCTCTACGTATTTCACCATCTATCGATACCATATTATAACATTCACTGTAAACTGTACTTACTCTTAAATGTTTAATTACGACGTTACATTTTACGTGTTGCCTTAATGTATCATCATCAAGTTTTAAAAAAAAATCTCTGCTGCCGTTGTATTATAATTTGGTCGAGCATATAGGAAACAATATTGAATACATACATTAAAAACCGGCCAAATGCGAGTCAAACTCGTGCACAGATGATTCCGTACCATTATCTATGCATAAAAATGTCTGTAGTATTGGAGCCCCACTTAAACACATTTTACACTGTTTTTTAGTATTTTTTGTTATAGCGGCAATAGATATACATCGTCTATGAAAATTTCAACTATCACCGTTCATGACATACAAGTCTTGTGACACACACATAGACAGACAGCGGAGTCTTAGTAATAGACTCCCGTTTTACCCTTTGGGTACGGAACCCTAAAAAAGCTAATTTTATGTAAATATCGACAGTACACTTGAGCAAGATCTTAAACGAATGGCGACTATCAATAGAAATGTTTGTGCCTAACTAAAATGATGACTGTGAATCGTGACAGGCCTCCATTGGACGCGTTGGCCGGGAGGTTTGACTGCGTGCGCGAGTGTTGCGTCGAGTGCTGGGCAGAAGAGCCGACGGCGCGGCCCGACTTCAAAGCCATACGCGCCAGGCTTCGACCGCTAAGAAAGGGAATGTACGTAACATCCGCCTTACATTAATCACACTTAGAATAGGTTTCTAGTGAGTTACATCTACACTTAGATCTACACTTACATCTACACTTAGAATAGGTTTCGCTTACCATCAGGTGGGATGGCAGTCAAGTGCTAGCCAGTTTTGAATTAAAAAAAAGAACTGTGGTATGTTCCTTGCCTTATTTCGGTCGTAACTTGCTTTAGAAGAAAGAAAGAAGTCTTCTCATACTGTTCAGAGTGATTCGTAAATATGCTTATACATTATTATTTTTCCCTGTTCTGTTTAAAGACGGTACTAAATATTTACTTCCTGATGATGTAACGTGTACATAAACATTTTCCACAATGGTCCAAAATTAGTGAAAATTATAAACATTTCTCTTGTGGCGAAAACAAATTTTGCATGCGTCTTATTGTAAAATTCACGTTTGGTAAGTGTTATAAAATTTGTTTAGGCACCATTAAAGTTCTTAAGCTTTCGTAAATATTTTAATTTTGGAGCATTTCGCTTTTACCGCATTCGAATCAAAATATTTACACAATGCCAGCGACAAGGTGTATCGCAAACTTTACGACATACAACACGCTTAATCATGCGTTACAAGCATTAAACAAATAACATAAAGGATTTACATTGAATATGTCTTAAAACAGACCCTTATTTTTAAATAGTGTTCAAAAAATGAAGGAACATGAAAACTTTTTTTTGTTACAATTATAATTTGACTTCATAAATGCAAGCCTTGCAATGTAACAGATAATTAATAAGATGCCCTTAAAGATTATACTTTAAGCGTTCTGTGAACAAAATATTCCAGGAAGCCAAATATTTTTGACAACATGATTGCTATGATGGAGAAATATGCCAACAACCTCGAAGCTCTGGTCGACGAAAGGACTGATCAATTGCAGGAAGAGAAGAAGAAAACCGGTAAGAATCGAATAATTTCAATAACAAACAAACATACTTACATAACTTAATAGCTAGTTAGTACTACACTACCTTTTTTTTCCGTGGGAGAAATCCTTTATGGATCCCCTGCCACTTGTACAGGGGAGTCCAAATAAGAACGGGTACCCACTAAAAAACCCACGTTGCACCTGTCTCTGTCGCATCGGCCGGGGGGACGGGAACACGTGGATGCAATCTTCCTTGACCCCGGCGCGACTATGACCTTTTTAGCCCTCCTCTACTACATAGTGATGTGCCGGTGCAATTAGCACGCACACGTCACGAGCCCCATATTGAGCGACAGACACCCCTTTGCCTGCCGCTCAGGGTCTCGAGTACCTGCTACAATACCTACCTTTTTACTGTAGTAGGACCACGCAACAGTGTTCACTGTTGCACGAATAGTCTGGGTAAGTACCACGACCTCACAGAAGACCGGCGTAAAGTAGAAGTGTTAATTAGAAGTATTACACTTCTCGTCTGGTGAGTAGGTAGCCGTGGCCCACTTAATTTAAAGGCAACGCATTTGCAGCCCTACAGGTGTTGTATAAATGTCCATGAGCGGGTTATCACTTAACATCAGGTGAACCGCCGGCTCGTATGCCACTTATAAGTGTAACACTTCCACTCCACGCCGGCCCTCTGTGAGGTCGTGGCACTTACCCGGACAAACGCTGACAATTCGTGCAACAGAGAAGACTATCAACGACTATCAACGCAAGATCAACAAGTAGTAAATTTATCACAAAACTTTATTAAATCTAGGTTCAATAAATGGAATGACAAGTATAATTTCAGAAGTATTGTAAAGCCATATGCGTTAACGGTTGATGTTTTGTCATATAGTGAGACATTAAAAAAGGAACTTATCGAAAATGACATTGTTATTGCAATAGGTTCAAATGACAAAAATCCATATGAGGTAATAAAACACTTAGCTATATCATTAAATAAATTAAGCAACGTCAAAATATATGTCCTTGAAGTATATTTCAACCCATATTTAAACACAAACACATTAAATAATGAAATACGCTGTCTTACAAATACGTACAATAACTCTTATTTTATTAATTTAAGTAATGAATGCAATAATTTAAGAAAATATAAGGATAAAATTACTAAAATAATTAATTTTAAAATAGGTTATGATGATTATTACAATACTTACCTGACATTCAAAAAAGATATTTTACTGAATAAAACTTCAAATGCAACTAATATATCGCGCTGTGAAAAAAATAATAAAACGAAAATTACATACTACTTTAAACGGATTAAAGAAAACCAGAACACGAATGAGGATATAAATACGACTAATAACAAAGGCCTATTATATGAGAACATTTTGCAATCAAATAAAATAACATATAAAAAAGGCACAATTCCCTACTACTTCTCAAAAAAAAATAAAATTATAGACAGAAAATTCCAAAAAAATAACTTATTTCGTTAATAATATTAGTAACAAATTGACAACTCAAATTAGTTCAAATAAAAAGACTTTCGATTTCACAATATTACACCAAAATATTGCCGGAGCTTTAAGTAAATCGACAGAGTTATATGCAGCATTAACCGATTTAAGTACAAGTAAAAAAAACACTTTTGTTGATGTTATTTGCCTTTCAGAAACATTTATGAAAAAAGGGACAGAATTGCTTTTAAAAGTCTTGACTTATCCCGGGATACAAAATTGTGGCATGGTTTTCTAGAAACGTAAAAAGAGGTGGAACATGTATTTTGGTACAAAGGGACATGGTATGTAATACTATAAATTATTTAAAAACTGTATCTCAACCATTTACTTTTGAATGCTGTGAAGTAGAAATACAAATTCATAATATAATAATAATTTGCATTTCTCGAACTCCAAAAAGTGACCTCAAAGAATTTTTCTTTAAATTGGAAGAGATGCTCAACATTTTATTCTTGAAACATAAACGTAAAAAAATAATACTTTGCGGGGATTGGAATATAGACATCCTTAAGATAAATAATTATACTAAAGAACTACAAAGTATACTTAGCAACTATAATATGATTTTGCACATAAATACACCCACAAGATTAACATCCTGCATTGATATGATAATCCCCTGACAATATCGGAATTATTTAATAAATATTTTATCAATTTGACTCAACATAATATGACACATCACCATTTAAATTCTGACATAGACAAACTAATAAAAATGAGTAATAGTTCAATTTTTTTGTATCCAACCGACAATGTTGAAATATTTAAAATTATTAATACTTTGAAAAACACCAAAGCAGTAGGCTATGATGAATTACGTACGGACATTTTAAAAAAAATGTGCCCTGTATATATGTACTCCCTTATCATATATAATTAATTTGTCTATTGAACACGGAATATATCCAGAAAGTTTAAAGTTATCTATAGTGAAACCCTTATTAAAGAAAGATGACCCATGTGATATTAGTAATTATAGACCAGTTACAATGATACCGATTATTGCAAAAATTTTTGAAAAAATAATACATAAACGCTTACTAGATTATTTCATTAAGCACAACATACTAAGAGAAGAACAATTTGGATTTAGAAGTAATAATTCTACTACTTTAGCTTGCTTCCAATTAATTAAATTAGTTACTGAAAGCTTAAATGATAAATTACCTATTACAGCTCTATTTTTAGATATGAGCAGAGCTTTCGATTTTGTTCAACATGACAAATTAATAGATAAACTGTATAGATACGGTATAAGAGGGAATGCACAACAATGGATCACAAGTTATTTAAAGGATCGAAAGCAGTGCACCGAAATAACAAAGATATTAAACTCGACTAAAATTAAAAATACCTCTCAGTATAGTTTTTGTTAAATGTGGAGTCCCACAAGGTAGTGTACTAGGGCCACTTCTATTTTTAATTTATATTAATGATTTACCGAATGCAATAAAGCACCCATGCATATTGTTTGCTGATGACACTACTATTTTGATACAAAATAAAAATAAGGACACATATGAAATTGAAATAAATAATGCATTATTTGACGTTATAGATTGGCTAAATAAAAATAATCTTAAAATTAATATAAATAAGACTAAGCTAATACAATTTAAAACATATAACAGCAAAACAAAATCAATCAACATAAAACATAGTGATGAAAAAGTAGAAGAAGTAGATAATGTAAAATTTTTAGGAATAATTTACGACAAACATTGTAATTGGCAAGCTCATGTCGATATGATTTGCACAAGATTAGATAAGTTTGTATATACACTGCGTCAGCTTAGACGAACGGTTTCTAAAGAAGCAGCATTAAGCGCATACTATGGTTATGTTTTTTCGGCGTTATCATATGGATTAATAATTTGGGGTAACTCAGCGTATGCAACAAAAGTATTCATAATTCAAAAAAAATGTATTAGAGCCATTTGCGGAGCGAAACCACTCGACAGCTGTAAGCCACTATTTAAAAGGTTAGGCATATTACCTCTTCCCGCAATGTATATTAAGGAGATGTGCATTATGGTGAAAAGGTATCCGAAATATTTTGAATTGAATTATAATTACAACAATAGATCCTTACGTCGAAAAACTATACCAGAAAAACTATATGTTCCTAAATGTAACCTAAATAATGTATATAAAAAGAATGCTTACTTTATGTCCATAACTTTGTACAATAAATTACCGTTAGAAATTAAACAATTGCCCCTTGCTTCGTTTAAGACGAAAATAACGAAATGGCTCCTAGATAAAATGATTTATAACATAAATGACTGTTACGTAATACTGACATTTAATAATTTGACATAGGTATATTCGTATAATAATTTTAATGTTTTAATGGAATAATTTATTATGTTTTAATGTTTTAATGTGAATAATTGTATATTTTAAATATTTTAATGTGAATAATTTTATAAGAAATTGACAATTGCATGCTGAAGGTCAGCTGAATATGTTGCACCAAATTATTAGAATTAAGATCAAAATGTAATACTATATTCTGGCAATGAAAAACATAAATAAATAAATAAATAAATAAATATTGCGCGGCCCTATCAACGTTAATAGCCAGTCAGTGCAACAATAATATTTTCTAAATATTTATTAATGCAAATATCTCTCCCATGGTCAACCACACACCGTAATTTACTGCATCAGTTGAAACATATATATAGAGCAACTCAACACGTTTTTGCCAGCCAATTGTATTAAAGGGATCTCTTAAGGAACACACAATAATGGCAATTGCTCTTGCTACATTACAAATTCTAATTTGCGATGGAAGAGTCTTTACAGATGTTATCTTCTATTGTGCCATTTGATTTGATATGATGAAAATGTATACAGAGATAAGCTCTGACTCGAAAATAATACTAAATTTTATCATAAAACTTAATATATGTATATTATTCATAGCTTTATTTGAAGTAATGGAACTGCCTATATATATGTCCCACTGCTGGGTAAATCGTACAAAGGGAATTGGCATAGTTCACACGACCCCACCGCGGTTTGGCCGACTTCATAATTCTTCGAACTATTCCTATTATTATGGGTGCACCGGGATTTGAACTCCAGTTGTTCGAGTATTGAAGTAAAGGCGAACGCCCGGACACTGAATTGTAGACTTATAGCCGCTCAGTCATAAGACTAATTATATATGACATGAAATAGTTTTGTTGCTAACATAATGACGTATACATCGGAATTGATGTGTCACGTATATACCTACGTGATGACGTATATACCGGATATTGTGAATTCAAATTAATATCAGCTCTCAATACATTAGCATAATACACGATCGAATGTATGATGTATACTTTCGGTGTGTATATTTTGGCACTACATAGAGTTCTTAATGTATACATGTATATATTCGGGCACGGCATAGAGGCACTGCTCGAGGAGATGCTGCCGGCGCCCGTGGCCGAACAGTTGAAGCGCGGGCGGCGCGTGATGCCAGAGAGCTACGATTCCGTTACTATATACTTCAGCGACATAGTCGGCTTCACCGCGATGTCAGCGGAGAGCACACCCCTACAGGTTAGTCAAAATAAAATTATCAGGTTCGACCGTTACGGCCCTGAGACAAGCCTGCTTAGTAATCCTTAAGTTTTATTCCTCCAAATCTTCATCGGCATATGTATACATGTGTTACGACGCTGTAAGTAGAAGGATGATTGTAAACAAAGACTACGACCCTGTAATTACAGTCACGTATGTATACATGGGCCACGACCCCATTAGTAGAGTCACGCGTGTGTACACGTTCTACGATCCTGTTAGTAGAGTCACGCATGTAAACACGGACTACGACTCTGTAATTACAGTCACATATGTATACATGGGTCACGACCCTGTAAGTAGAGTCACTCATGTATACCCGTTCTACGACCCTGTTAGTAGAGTCACGCGTGTATACACGTTCTACAACCCTGTTAGTAGAGTCACGCGTGTATACATGGATTACGACCGTTAGTAGAGTAATTCATGTATACATGGGTTACGACCCTGTTAGTAGAGTCACCCATGTATAGATGGGTTCGGACTCCATTAGTAAAGTCACGCGTGTATACTAGGGCGACGACTAGCTAGTTTCTGCACTTAAAATAAAACTATAAATTGTTATTGTTCCACCATTGTACCTTGGATGGCCGCAAACATTTACTGCAAAAAAATTGACTTAGGTATTTTTATCCGTTACGAAGGTACACGAATAATAAAACAATGGGTGGGCATTTGGGTAAGTTAATCTGCTAAGAGCAACGCACTTACCGCACCCCGGTGGTCTTTTAAAAATAGGATTTATTACGGATCTGAACGAATAGAACTGATTAAATAACTGCTTCAAGCCCTCCTATTTTTGACCTTGTATTTCTTTCCATAACATTGCTGCCTATTTTATAATTATCAATAGATACTTATAAGAATGTATATAATACATTGGCATCACCTTTGTGCGATTCTTATCAATAAAATATAGATAAATATAAATTGAAATATCCCCTTTCATTAAAAATACATATTTCATTACATATTATCAAATGTATTTATCCTATTGTTACGTATATTATTAATTAAAAGTAAAAAGCAAGGAAGTAACACGTTTGATACAAAGCACGTAACATACTTCACTTCTTAATAATTCAGTTGTATCTACTTACAATAAATAATTTCGTGTTTTTTAATTTCGCAGGTGGTGGACTTCCTTAACGATCTGTACACGTGTTTTGATTCGATATTAGAAAACTTCGACGTGTACAAAGTGGAAACCATAGGCGACGCGTACATGGTTGTGAGTATAATTTTAAGAAATTAACGCCTTTTTATTAAAAGTGATCAGCCGAAAACCCTTAACCTTATTATCGTCCCGGCAACACCGCAACTCCTCTTTATATCATTTTCGTTTTCAAATAAAAAAGTGGTTTAAAGGTATTACTTTCGTTTTTTATAAGTATTGTCACAAAAAAAGACTCTAAATGTAGGATCTATTTTAGAAGATTAAAAAATTATTGACATACTATATTTGACCGTTACTGTAACCGAAATAGTAACCAATTAATAATTCGTTTATGTCGCTGAAAATTTGGATAAAACTGATGAATACAGGTCCTTGAGATATCTCAAGTTCCACGAGCTCACTTAAGCTTAGTGAAACCCTATTTCAATACCGATATTATGCCATTGCCATATTTTGCCTTTCACCTTGTAAAGAAGTCACTGGTTTGGCATGAGCGTGGCGTATTTGTGGCGTCACGCCATGAATTGGGGACGTGATGCCACAATGGTGGCTTTTGACTTTCTAACGTCAAGGGTTCCGTTTGACCTGTGAAGGTGTCATATGCTGTGACGTCAGACTGTTAAGCGGTGTAACATCAGCAGCAGAATAGTCTGTATGGAGAAATCCCCAAGACGTTAAACTATTATATTAACAGACCTCGGCACACCATGTGGAAGAGATTTTTGAAAAGAGTAACGGCTTGTCACAGTTTCGTGACTTGTCGCTGGCAGCGTCGCGGTCATGACAAGACCTCGCGACACCGTGCGCATGTCGTTTTTAAAAATAGAATGCCGCGAAGCGTTCGAATGACCGACAGGTATCAGGGCTGCCACTGCGCAACGGCATCCAGCACGCGGGCGAGGTGGCGTCTATGGCGCTGGCGCTGCTGGCGGCGACGCGCGCATTCCGAGTGCGCCACCGCCCTGACCACAGGCTGCTGCTGCGCGTCGGCATGCACTCCGGTAGCGTTCCGTTTTCGAAAGTTCAAACTTTAAGGGCAGACTCTGCATGGCATTCCATTTTCGAAAGTTCAAACTCAAAGGATAGACTGCGAGGCGTTTCATTTTTAAATGTTAACGCATTCCAATTTCGAAAGTTCAAACACAAGCCACAGACCGGGAGACCGTGACACTTCGAACATAATCCTGCAGTGTTCGAAACGTTGCGAGTTAAAACAAAAATTGATCAGAATAGAATCCATAAAGTCGTTTTTGATTGACCACTTTGATTCGTTATATGATTCCAAAAAATATTTAAAATAACATGGCAAATTTCCTCATTTCTAAGTCTCAATTTACGAGGATTTTGTGGATTTTACTGTTACAAAATTAACCTTATATTTTTAGTCTACTTTAAAAACGCGGTGTCCAAAAATAATCTAAAAAAGTTTTTTCAATTGTTATTGTAGATACCTAACAACGAATATATGAATGTTTAGTTTTACTCATTTTCAATATAAATATGTCTTATCTATGCTAATATTCTACACAGACATGCTTAGACAATACAGTCCGATAATATTTTGTTATTTCAGGACCAGTGTGTGCCGGAGTAGTTGGATTAAAAATGCCTCGATATTGTTTATTCGGGGACACAGTCAACACGGCGAGTCGTTTCGAATCGACCGGAGCGCGTTAGTTGACCTTAACATTTTTACTGTATTCATTTGTAATTCAAATTGAAATAAATAATATCACAAGGCTTATTTCTTATATTACGATGTTGCAGTATTATATACCTGATACATTTATTCCAGCCCTGAAGATTCACTGCAGTGCGGCGTGCAAATCCCTTCTCGATCAGCTCGGTGGCTATATTTTAGAAGAACGCGGAATTGTATCCATGAAAGGCAAACGTGATCAGGTATTTAATGATAATTCCTGTTATTTTTTTTCTGGTACAACATTTAATACACAATTTAAAGTACCTATACCTCTTTTATTGGTACAATGTTTGATACTCTGATTTTTGGTGATTTATCCAATACTGACTTGAAAGAAATATGAACATTGATATTTAATTTGATTATTAATATATCAACACGTAGATATATGTTGTAAATTTGATGAGTAAATAACTTCACAAGTATTACAAAGTAACACGGAAAGTCTACATTCATGATATATATACATGCTACAAAAAGTATCATGATTGAACGTAGCGAAAGCTTTCAATAGGGTTTGGCACGGAGCACTTCTTTCCAAGGTCACTTATGAGCTTCCTGAGAAATTATGCAATTGGTTTATAAGTTTTTTCACGGATCGTAGCATCATTGTCCTTTTTGACGATGAATGCTGGTTTGCCACAAGGCTGCGTACTGTCCCCTATTCTGTTTCTTCTGCATAGCAATGACTTTTAGCATATTAACAGCAGTCATTGATATGTGGATGACAGTTCTGGTCACGCTTCATATACCGGCGGGACAAATATTTCTCAGGAATATACCGATGAGTGTCGGAATAAACTTGTGCTAACGTTGAGAATTTGTTAGGCAAAATCTCAGAATGGGACCGACAAATTTTAGTCCAATTTAACCCTAAAAAGACACAAGTTTGCACGTTTAATGCAAGGAAAATATCCTTCGTCGTGTCTCCTTTTTTTGTGGGTATTACCCTTGTAGCCACAGACACGATTGCATTGCATTTTTGGAGTATTGCATAGTCGGAGCGAAGGTTAGAGTCACTGGGTCTTACTAAGCCTGCACGCACCTTACAGCCGGTTCAATTTTCAATCTAAAGATAGATTTGGTTACTGGAGATAGAATTTTTACGTGTCATAGGGGCTAACATCAAATACCTAACGCTAGTAACCAAATGTATCTCGTGTAGTGCTGTATAGAATATTGAAATCCCGGCTGTAACGGAAGGCGTCTGGTCGTTCAATCACGTTATATATCGAATCTACCGAGTATCTTGTGACTTCGTGTGCTTAGGTCGCACGCGGGGACTGGCAAACATCTTGAACCAGAGGCGGCGTACTGGTTGAAAAGTCTGCTTGCCCGGCCGACAATTCAAAAGCATTTTTCGAGGCGCCATAACCACCACGGCCTCTTGCGCAGATGACGTACTGGCTGCGCGGCGAGGAGGCGGGCGCGGCGGCGGTGCGCGCCCGACGCCGCGAGCTGCGCGCCCACGCGGCCCACGCCGCCCACGCGGCACACTCCACGCACGCCGCACACGCAGACGCCCCGCCCCATGAGCGCCGCGGGCAACGCAGCTCGCTCAAGTCGCGCAACTGGAAGAACCAGCTGGGCGGGCTGCACAGGTGAGCGGAACCGGGCGACATTGTCTTTGTACGAAAGAAAGAAAATGTTGTATTGATGATGTATAGTTTTACCTTTTTGCTATTGTATGCCTATATTTTTTTTCAATTGGGCCCAGAGAGCTGCCTAGTACAGTCCCGAGCGTAGAAAAAAGGACCATCTATGCTCTCGCTAACGCTACGTAGTTTGGGGAGAATGCAGCTTGAATCTTCAAGTGATGACTTTGGAAAATCTGGGGAATATGAAAACTACCATTTCAGAATTTCATACAGTTTTCGACTTTTCTAAAAAAAAAATGGGTGACGTTAAAGAAAACGAAGTCCCGGAAACTTGGATTTTAAATAAGCCAGTAGTATTTTATTGCAGCACTGTGCAATGTTCACCTCGAAAAAAAACCACTAAACACGTTTTTTTTTATTTTTTTTAATGTGAGGAAGTGTTGCCACTTCCTCACATTAGCGACGAGCGACGAGCTGGTGGTTCACTTGATGTTAAGTGATAACCGCCTGCCCATGGACATTTGCAACCCCCGTAGAGTTACAGATGCGTTGCCACCATTTAACAAATTGGGCCCCGGCTACCTTACCAGACGAAACGCAGAAGTGTGCAACACTTCTACTTTACGCCGGTCTTCTGAGAGGTCGTTGTACTAACCCGGACGGACCTGCCCATTCGTGCAACAGCGAACACTGTTGCGTGTCCCTACAACCGTTAAACGGTACCACGTTTGGCGGTGAGTAAGCGAGAGGGCGGTGTATGAACAATTTTGTTATAACGAATATTGTTTGCATACTCCCACTGCTGATTTCCGGTTGCAATACTCAACAGATGAATATAAATACTTCTACTTCACGCCGGGATTACCGGACGACCTGACTCATTCTTCAGAGGCGTAGTCATTTACCTATCACAACCTTTAAATCCAATGTACGTTCGTGTAGGACTTTCAATGTTGACGCATTAGACCGTTTACAAATAATAATTATAGAAAACAAGTACCGAGAAGTACTGCACTCAAGAACTTTGCCACTAATTTCTTCAATATTTATTGTCATCAATTTAAACTCATATTTATTACTAATATTCCGATGTGGCACATTTCCTTATTGGCGATTAATGTTTGTTATGTTACAAAATTAACAATTAAGTCATTAGTTTTCGTACGTAGCCATTATGTACATAATTACGTATTTGCTGTTAATTTTCGAAGGTGGAGATTTTTTTTTAATTTCAATGAAGTTTTATCTATCCCATTTTTACTAAATTCTAAGAGCTTATAATAACTACCGTATAACTCCGTAATTCCAGCTGTAGAAGTTGTTACATTGGATTCTAAATGGCACTGATGTATGTACTATGTATAGACAATTTTTTAAATACTCGTAAACACACGGCACATCTTAATTGGCACGTGATTCGATTTTTCTCACATTGAATGAATTGCTCATAATGAGACTATTTTATAATAATCATACCATTCTCCGTTTCAGATGTTGCAGTTTAGAATCTCCAAAGAAATTAAGGTTCGCCTCGGGTAATCACTTAGAATCTCACACAGACAGCGTGCTTCACCACAGAAGTGATGAATATCTCATGGAGGTACGAGTAATATTTGCTATCGATTTCTCCTGCAGAATCTCTATAGTTAAAATGTATGAATTATCCTTTCAATTAGAATGCATGACATCTGTTCCGGCGTGGTAAACTAGGGAAATTCCTCGAATGTACAATGAATCCGATAAATTAAATAACCTATTTGCACGTATCCCAAGCGGAGTAGATTATGATGTTTTTCACTATTTAAAGTTTATATATAAATATCAAAAAATTATTTTTCCTTTTTCGTCCCGTTTGCATAACTAGACGAGGCCCATTAACTTGATTGAGATGAAACTGATGAGTCTCGTCACAATAGTATGCCACAACTCGAGAACAACTCTCATCAGCAAATGAAATGAGTTTGAGTTGTGTTTACGGAATATTCCGCAGGTGGTGGGGGAGGGTCGTTTAACGCCGGCCCAACGCAGCGACCTTCTAGAAGCGCCTAGCCTGCGGCAAGAGTTTACGAGCGTGTCGTGTCCTATTATTGAGCACGTCGAGAGCGCACCGCCCGCCTCGGAACCGGTAAAGCAGCTCGAAGCTCCGCTCGACAGCCAGCTCGGCGCGCCGCTCGACGCGCCTCCTGAAATGCCTTGCGACATCCGCCTCGTCGTCAACGGCTGCACGTACGACAACGACACCGCCGCCGCCATTCCATTACTCGCCGACGCTTAAGCGTTGCAGTTAATTTTAATTATCTGTATCCCCTAGTCAATAGCCGCTGCTGGCCATTGGTTATAAGTTTTAATGCTGTTCGCAATACCTCAAAACTTATTGTTGTACCATTTTAATAGTTGACTTATTTGAACCTTTCGAGGTTGTCAATAATAATAATTATATATTCTATTAAAGAAAAATCCATTAGCAGACAATAAGTAATGAAATAATAGCCTCTACATTGGACCAGCAGCGCGATTAGACGTAATTTAGTAGGATTTTTACGAGCGTGTTTTGTCTGTCAGTGTTTATGAATATTCTATTCGTATTTTAAACGTGAATATGCATTACAATAATGAATTATAATCATATTAATGTTTTAAAGTCTTTGTGTTCGGCGATGGCACACATAATTCGTCACATGCATCCTTTTGTGGCCTCGTAACACTTGACTGTAGCAGTAATGGTGATCAATGTCAGTATTATTAAGAGAACTTGTTCAATAGAAATTATTTAATAACATTAAACTCTTAATTCACAATTTACGGTAACATCGTTTTACTTACACATATTATTTACAACAGCGTTTCATATACATATGATCTAATATACATTTAAATGAATAGTGTGTAGAATAGGTAGTAGTAGTAGTAGTAATAGTAGTAATAGTGATAGTTGAACTTAATAGTAGATTCTCCCTCGGCATTGTGAATTTAAAGTTGACTTTGAAATTAATAGTAAGAGGAGTAAGAGAAGTTCTTTATCAGTATCGATATTGGCATGCTAAGAAAAGAGTAGGAGCTAGCGGAAGGGCAGGGAGTGGTGGGCCGCTCAAACGGCGGACTCGCGGTCGAGCAGCGGCGGGGCGCGGCGCAGCGACGAGCTGCTGCTCCGGGTGCCGCTGAAGATGCCCAGCAGCCACGAGCGGATCGCGAAGCGCGGCATCTTGCGCATGTCGCCCTTCGTGTCCGCCATGTTCTCCAGGGAGCGCCACTTCTTGTAGAACTCGATGTAGTTCGCGTCGTGCGCCTTGCGCTTGGGCCGCTCGAGCTTGTTGTGGAGGCTGCACTTGCGCAGGAGCGGGCTCTCCTCGCCGGCCTTGGGCAGGTCGTCGGTCACGATGCCGATGATGGTGCCGTTGAACACGGGCCCGGAGACCGTGGAGACGGCGACGTCCGCGTCCAGCGAGCGGGTGGTGTGGCCCCTGCGGAGGCGCGTGTCGCGGCGGGGCGCGAGCAGGTCCAGCGAGTGGGCGCACCGCAGCGAGGCGCACACGCCCCCCGCCGCGCACCCGCCCCCCCCCCCCGCCCCCGGCCCCCGCCCCGGCACCGCCCCCCGCCGACCCCTCCGACGCGCCGTCCGTCTCGCAGGCGGTCGACGACGCGATCGAGCTCAGCGCGTGTCTGTAACCAAGCGTCTCGTTTATGCGCGCAACAGTTTTCGGTAACTGGGAGCTGTTCGTCACAGGTTATATACAATACTAGCGACCAGCCCCCGCTTCGCTCGGGTGCAATGTATTATACAATATACCTTTCTCTTGAACTCACTCTATCGAGTAAAAAATACCTCTCAAGATCCGTTGCGTAGTTTTAAAGGTCGGTAGGTTTTAAGTATACATAGGGACAGACAGACAGCTGAACGACTTTATACTATGTAATGATTATACCGACATATTTTTCGGATTCCCAGCGCATTACCAAATCACAACACTCCCGAACTTATTGTTATCTAATATAATATAAGATTTGGATTACACCATGTTTATAATAATAATAAAATACATTACATATATTTAATAAATTTGTTCAAATGTCAAAAAAAAAGAGTCGTTATTTGTAATAAAAGCAATCAGAGTGGCTCACATTTATAGTATTTGAATATTAAACATTAAAACTATGCATTAGTATATTTACAATACTTGTAAAATCATAAATATTACGTTTAAACTATTTAAATCATTTAGTAATTAATATAAATGATGTTATTAAGACTCATTTCCACATGCTCACGAAAAATGGCTCCTTAATTATTAAGAAAAAACAGTTTAATCCATTATGAATTTTAAAACAAACTCCAACATTCCTTTGAATATCACTATCTATATATTATGTATACAAGGCGGATATATATACAAGTGCTAAATGAACAACCAATTACATTCATTACCAAAAACCTAAATCACTTTTTCAAACACTCTCACATCTCACTTGCCTTTAAAATTATCTCGAACTAAGTTCAGTTCAGGGAGCTGAAATCCTGACACTATATGGTATATCGTCCGTGAAAGGTGGCGTTGTTGTACCATGGGGTAGGTCCCTGAGGCAGCTCACAGAACTAAAGAGGCCAACAAGGTACTGAAACTAATAACATACTTTCTACTACCACAAAATATTTTCAAAAGTCATCGATAATTATAACCGGTGCTAACCATAATCAAAAAACAATGCATATGACGTTTTAGATCTGTGCAGAGAATTTAGAGCAGAGCTTTCTTGTAGCGTGCTAAACTGTATAGCCTCAGTCACACAGCGAGTATTACAAATTCCGATTATTTTTACTGCAAATAATACACACAGCCACAATTCGCTGCCTGCCCATTATACACCTTTCCCACACAATTTCGAAAGTTTATTTTTGCCCCAAATATTTATTATGCGGTACGCTGAGCGGAATGTCTACTTGCAGCGGGTACCTTGTCACTCAGCGAATTCTCGTGGCGAATGCGCATCCGCAAAGTAAAATTAAAGTTTTTTTTAAATTATAAATGAAACTAATTTTATGGATTGGCCGATTTTTAATTTTAAATCCCGAAGTTTCGAACTGCAGACTTTAGCCCGGGTTCATGGTCACGGGACAGACTGACGTCTAATGGGACGAATCGGTGTTCTTTTGCAAGGATCTGTGGTCTATCAAACCTGATGTAGTGGTTGGGCCGATTTAGAGTGTGCTCACAAACTGCAGACTTGTAGCCCGGGTTAACTACGACAATCAGACGTCTAACACCTCAGTCTGTCCCGTGACCATGAACGCTGTAAAGGGTTCGAAACGTCGGGAATTAAAATTAAAAATAAACGCAATAAATCCGTAAAATTAGTTTCATTTATAATGTGTAATCGCGTAAATACAAGAAAAAAAATTTTTTTTATGTTAAAAAGTGACAAAAGAGCGGGCAGTTCACGTGATGTTAAGTAATTGTCGCCCATTGAAATTTTTGAACGCCCGCCGTGCGAAACTGAGGCTTAAGCTATAGCCATAAAGTGCAAAGTCGCCTGGCGCTCGCAGCGAGTGTTCGTCGTGTGTGACTGAGGCTTAATCCGTTGCCATAAAGTTCAAATTCACCTGGCGCGTGCGGCGTGGTCGATGCGGTCCGGACGCGCGCGACGCGGTACGGGTGAGGGAGGCGCGGGTGCGGCCGGCAGCGAGGCGCCGCTGTGCAGACGCTGCCTCACGCCGCCAACCGACCAACCAGTGTCGTTCTTCAGCTCTGTTAAACAAATTAGATGCTTAGATTTCACCATTTTTATCTAGAAAGTTATCTAAAAAAATAAATATCTTAAACTAGCTACTGCCCGCGACTACGTCTGCGTAAAATAGGCTGAAGGTGTAACATTAAGACAGAAAGACAGATTTATATACATAAAATATGTATATAAATTATAGCCTATGTCTTATTCTGATGTATAAGCTATATTATTGTAAAGTTTCATTAAAATCCATTCACTATAAGTTTATCGACAAAAAGCTTACATAGAACTGAGGATTTAAATGTTACTGTGAAAGTACCCCGCCACAACATCAGAAGAGGTAGTGGATTACAATTTAATATATACCTAACATGCTAAAGAAAATAATAAAAATCTCGTTGCGAATATACACAAAGTCAAATATGAACAGTGCTGAATGATAAATTATGGCACTCAGGACTTATCACCGATCAACATCTACATGAATTTAATAACTATTGTTAACTCACACTACTGGTTACTCAAAAAGAGAAATTTGTTATTTTACCATAAACTTCAAGAGTATAAGACTAGGTGTTATCTTATTTTGACAAACCTGATAAGGAAGGATGTCTCGAGTCCGTCAGCCTTGGACTTCTACGCGGACGTCGGAAAAGGGGACGCTCTTCGCCCTCAACAAGCCTCTTTTGTATAGCCTTCTCCGTGGCTCCGACTAACCAGTAAGTTTGCAACTGAAACATATAACTTTTTTTTAAATAAAAATCTCTGAAACTACTAAAACTCCTGCTCTTATCCCGCCCTGGTGAGGTTGGGATAAGAGATATCGGGACAACATAATATGAACCATGTTGTTACTGGCTGGGGTTTTTACAACAGGCCCCCTAAATAACTTCGTCCGGAATAGCTATCTGTGGGCCGCACAAATATTTATTCCGTATGATGTAATTTTTTTTATGTAAGATGGTAAGCGACCTGGCGATTCATCTGATGTTAATGATAACCGCCACCCATGGACATTTATTTGCTAAAGACCCCAGATGTGTTGCCACTCACCAGACTAAACGTAGAAGTATAACACTTTTACTGGTGGTAGGGCCACGTAGCAGCCTCGGCTGTTGCACGAATGGGCAGGCCCGTCCGGGTAAGTACCACGACCTCACAGAAGACCAGCGTAAAGTGGAAGTATGACAAATACTTTCGCGTTTCGTCTGGTGAGTGAGGTAGCCGGAGCCCAATTTTCAAAAGGTTGTCAACGCATCTGTAACCCTCGGGTGTAACAGATGTCCATGGGCGGCGGTATTCACTTAACATCAGGTGAACCGTCTGCTCGTTTGACAACTTTTCGCATAAAAAAAAAAAAAAAAGAAAAACTTCACGCTGATCTGTGAGGTTGTGGGATTTATCCCGACGTACTTGCAACAAAGAAGAGTGTACCGAAGCCCTACCGCAGCAATTTAATAGTAATCCGCAATATTTGCAGAGCAGACTAGCTCGTTTATCCTGAACACTTACCTGCCCCTTGCCCTTGATGGGTATCGTGCCCCTCGGCTCCACCAAGTAGCCGCCGATCTTGTCCAGGGCTTGTTTGCAGCTGGGCGATATGTGTATGCGCAGCGGCTCGCCGTTGGACTCCATACGGGAGGCCGTGTTCACGGTGTCCCCGAACAAACAGTACCGCGGCATCGTCAAACCGACCACGCCCGCCACGACCGCACCTGCAAATTACGTGTCCCAAATAACTGATCTTTATCTTATTATTTTCTTTATTATTAAGAATATCTCTATGCAATTATATTTATTGCACCTACCACGATTTCTCCTCACGCCCCGGGTTGACTGGTAGAGTATGCCAATAGACATTAAGTCCGCCCTTTGTAACCCTTTTGAGGCGTTTTCAATAAAGAATAAATAAAGAAATATCATCATCGGTCGGAAGACATCTATCAAAGTGTGCAACACCTCGGATAACGCAGATGTACGTAGGGCGAGGGTTACTTAACATCAGGTGAACCGTCTCTACCTTTGCTACCCCCTCTAAGATAATAAAGAATGATCCTCGAGGTATACTTAATATGTCAATGCCGACCCCCGTGGCTTTTTTTTGTTGAATACGATCACGAGTCGCGTAGTAAAGCCATCATTCAATAGTAGTCATCGCCAATGTCATTCATAAGTTGAGCTTTGGCCCGTTTCTACAGATTTGGCGCTTTACATAATATTGGAGGTCTTGTACACGCCTCGCTTTATATTATTTATGGCCTGAGTTGTAAAAAGTCAAACGGAAATTTCAATATAATATTAACAATATAAGGCACTACATGATCAAAAACTGTATTTGTGTAGATGTAGATAGATAATATCAAATAGTACAAAACTCATATTGGAAATGACAAGTATGATAATGACAACAATAATTTCACAAACCTTTCGTTCAACTGTGGTATTGCACTTCACACGATAAATTTATTCCCAATACTTCAAGGGAGCCAAAATGATAATTTATTAAACAAGCAAACCAATGTCCGACTTACCCGTGTGAATGCCTATCCTTAGTTTAAGAGTTTCATTTGGTCTATGAGCTATTTTGTGACTTTTGACGGCGTTGAGGAGCTCTAGCGCCATGGAAGCGATCTCCCCCACGTGTCGATCGTTGTTCCGAATCGGCAGCCCGGACACCTACGGCATTAGAAATATACTCGAAAGATTTTTCACATGTATATGTAACCAACTAAGCCTTTAACGCTCATTAGTTATTAAGTAAAAACACTAACTGCCCAACCGTCTGGCGAAGACCGTAGGAAATGTGTTTTGACGGACTAATTATCAGATTAAGCTTCCTAAAGTCCTTAAGAATAATCAGGCCCCCAGTCGTAAAAAACCATAACCACTTACAACAGTATTCACATGATGAGCCGTCCCCATCTAGATGGGACAACATTACGTTAAGAGGCTGATGATGAAATTCCTTAAGAATAAAAACGAAAACGTCGGTCAACAAAGAAATTTGATAATTCCCCCCGATGCAGCCGATATGAGCGGTTAAAGAAGTCGCCGCGTGTATGTTGCCTCTTTTAATTTAACATAAAAAATGTGAGGTGTATAGATAAATTGACGAAAGGTTTTTTGGTCGTTTCTGCGGGATTCGAACTTGCGTCTGCTAGGCGACTGAACGCGCGCCTATACGCTCTAGGCAACTGAACACTTTTGAGTACCGCAAGCGCGGAAATAAAAATTTACCGGCAATTAATCTAAAAGTCACTTTTAAATTTCATCTTGGGTACCCAGCACCGAAACTAATAAAGAAATGTCGATCAGAAGTTACCAACCACCATGTAGGCGTCTCCTATGGTCTCCACCTTGTACACGTCGTAGCCCCTTATGATCCTGTCGAAGACCGTGTACAGGTCGTTCAGGAAGTTGACGACCTGCAGGGGCGTGCTCTCCGCCGACATGGCGGTGAAGCCGACGATGTCGCTGAAGTATATGGTGACGGAGTCGAACGACTCCGGCTCCACGCCCTCGCCGGTAGTGAGCCGCCTCGCCACTGACCTACAACAACGCACGCGGCCGTGAACGCACCGATCGACGAGGAAACGGCTAAGTTATGGCAAACGCTAAAGTTTACGTGTTCAAATAATCCAAACGTGGTCTACGGCAAAAGGAAAACTTTATGCGCTTTCGAACTATGGAAAAGTTGAGTGGAAAGACGTCAGTGATATGTATAGGCGATATAGTACAGAATGTCATGCTAGAGTAGACCGCTACACCGCTCTAATAAAGTTAAATATAATACATTAATATTTCAATATTTAACAAGTATATGAGGAAGAATGAAATTTGTAGATACAATAGTTTACTTTAAAATTACAATCAATGTCAATCAATACCTTTAATAAGCATTATATATAGTGTGTGTTCAATATAAAATGAAATTATTTTTAAAACAAATATAATTATTGTAATAATCTGTTATTGTAAAGGTTTAAAAATATTGTGAAAAAAAAAAACATTATCTACATAAACATGTTTTCTATACAATAAATGTAAACTACTGAAATGCGTGTAAGAAAAAGCATGCTCAAACTACCGCAACAGCCAAATCTTAACTAAGAGCAAAGTTCTAATTTCAAACAACCCCTATACGAACATTCCCTACCAACCTTTTCGGGGAAGAAAGTATGAAAACGCCAACACCGACCACAATGCGTTACGGAAAATCACCACAAATCCCAAGCAAGCGCTAATTTTAATCGGTTAATTGGGAAACTTAGCCACGTACACACATCGCCTGCGACAAAACGATGTCTCTCCGGCACCTATAGCATAAGACAAACCGTATTAACTACAATCACCAGTAGGGAGTTAATTACCTCAAGACATTTTTCACGACATTTCTATAATGGATTCAACCTCCACATCTGGAAAAGAACACAAGTACAACAAAGTGAATACAATTACATGGTTTTTTTTCCTCTCTTTTGGAACAAAAGCATGTACCCCTGCTTTACATCAAGTCCATGTCGATGGATCGGAAAAAGCGCTACGCCCGATGAAAATATTTCATATGCTACATACACTATACTCAATTCCCCATATTCTACGGTTAGCGTTACGATATCAACATCGGTTTTCACATAATATGGTCGTAATTAGCAAAATGTAATTAACTAATAATTAATTGCCATAGCTGTTAGGAGTAGATGACATGTTACTCTAGGTAAGTCGAGATGCTGTTAAATACGTGAAGTCTACTAATAGTATTGACTCTCAAACCGATACCCAATAGTAGAAGTTGCATGGCGCCAACGCAACTACATTCTAAAGCTACGTTAGCTTCTAAATTAATCGCAGGGCCCGAAAGGATCAGACAACGATTATGTGTGGAGTTCAAGACTGGACTGAATGTAAACCAGTGCGCACAACACTGCTATCAGCCAGAAGTGCGAGGCGGCTTGTTGTATTTGCGTCTTCCGTAATTGTGCTCACATTTACATTTATTACAACAATGATTACATACCTTTTATTAGTAACAATAAAAATATGATACCATTTATAAAACTAGGAAATAATTACACATAGGAACGATTTCTTTATCGTTTTCATGCATGAATACAAAAATATCGCTCGCCACATCCTTCCCAGAGGCCATTGACTTAGTGTACAAAACGAATTTACAAATTGAAAATGAGTGCCGAAGCACATAGTAACATTCATCTCATCTTGAGGTGAGATTTGTAGTTTTTTAAGTTATGTTAAAAATTAACATAACTTTAGTAAATAAAGTGAGAACAGGCCATGCTTTTATTTGAGTAAACTGCATTGTTTGCTCTTGATACAATAAATTTAGGTTTAATTTTGAAATTCGAATTAATTTAAAATTTGAATTAATGATAAATTATTCAGAAACAGAGATGACAAGATCAGAAACAGCGGTTGTTAGATCACAATAGGATTGTTTATCGTGCGCGTGGATACAACCTTAAATAATAATATAAACACACCCAGTGTTAAACCAATATACTTATATGAAACAGATGTACTCACTTTGGTAGCATTCTATGTAATAAATCTTCGGTTTTCTGCTTTTCTTCTATCAATAGCCTCGTTCTTTCGTTGACTAGTTCTTCTAAATTATTAGCATACTTCTCCATCATGTCCATCATTTGATCCATAATATTCCTTGACCTAAGATTACAATTATTTATTTCAGAGTGAATATTTATAATGCAACATTTTTATTTGCAAACCTTATGGTAATTTTTAGTCACGATACGTTAATAAGGGTTTATTTTTAAATTTTAATATCAATAATATATTATAATATCATCACTCATTAAATTAAAAAATAATCCTTAAAATAATGATTAATAAATCATTAAACACTATAACATAAAGATCCTTATAGAAAGTGTGTAGAAAGTGTATTAGTTTTCTTAAAACTTCGACTACATTATAAAGGTGGTACTTCTAATAAAGAGAAGTATTAGACTGGCTGCTTCAGCATGTGTTGATAAAAGACTTGGCCAGTATCAGTAACAAACCATGGATAAACTTACTTGCCAGACTTCATTTTCTTAAGGCGGCTCCTAATGGTGGAGAAGTCGGGCCTGAGATTGGGGTCCTCAGCCCAGCAGTCTTTCATGCACGCCACTATGTAGTCCTCGGCAACGCCATCGAGTATGCTGGTATCTGGCCGAAATACCTCTTCACCGTCTAACTTTGGCCGCTTTACTCTATCTACAATATCTGTAACAACATGGGAACTTAGATGAAAACTAGCAAATTCTTACCTCATTTCAAAAACTATTTTCCTAAATGAATAAGTAATTCTTTCGCTAAACTTTTGTATTTTTACAACTTTGGTATTTTTGATTTTCTTGCGGGTATTAAAATATTTGTAAATTAATAACATAAATGCAATTACTATTTAAATAGACATTTCAATATTAAATACCTTTGGGTTCCAAAGCAGTGAGTCCAAAAGGACCCCGTCTGGCAATTATTTCGTACAGAATAATGCCAAATGCATACACGTCGCCTTTTTGCGTACCGCCTACCGTGAAATTGGGGTCGTCTAACTGTCGCAATAGCTCGGGCGATTTCCAAAGAAGGCCTGTAATCAAGAAGCCGAAACAATTTGTTTTTGTTTGTTTTAACAATAACTAAGCGAATGCTTAAATAAAAATTAATCATTTACCTCTAAAATATTGATGCTCTCCCACAAATTCGTTTTCAGAACAATATCTCAACTCATGAAGGCCAAAATCGGTTACCTGTAGAAGAAAGCTGGTTAATGGACATCTGTGACATGTAGCAAATGTAAATCAAGGAAAGAAGAAAACTTTCACCTGTAGCATCCACCTTGATGTCACTACACAATTAGAAGACTTGAGATTACCGTGAAATATTAGAGGTGAAGTATGAATAAAAGTCATACCCTGCAAAAAGAAATAAACATAAATAGATGTAATTCAAATATAGTCGGAATTCAATAGTTCTGACTGAAAATTATAATCTATCTAAATATTCTTCATATGTATTTTTCTTTTAATTTTTTTTATTTTTTTTTTTTTTATGCGAAAAGTTGCCAAGCGAGCAGACGGTTCACCTGGTGTTAAGTGAATACCGCCGCCCATGGACATCTGCTACACCCGAGGGTCACAGATGCATTGACAACCTTTTGAAAATTGGCCTCCGGCTACCTCACTCACCAGACGAAACGCGAAAGTATTTGTCATACTTCCACTTTACGCTGGTCTTCTGTGAGGTCGTGGTACTTACCCGGACGGGCCTGCCCATTCGTGTAACAGCTGAGGCTGCTGCGTGGCCCTACCACCGTTGAATATAATGAACCATATGAATTCATTTAAAATAAAATTTTCTTTTTAATTTTTAAGGTGTGATAGGTGTCAGTGTCCGGGCGCTCGCCTTAAATTCAATTTACGTGAGCAAACTGAGTTCGATCCCTGGTGCCAGTACCAATGAAATTGTTAATTTTAAGCACTGACTTATCACGTCTTCAGCAGTGAAGGAAAACATCGTAAAGAAACCGGCATATTTTCGAAATAGTATCGAAAAAAATAATTCGAAGATATGTGAAGTCCGCCAATCCGCAGTGGGGCCGCGTGAAGGACTATGCCCTGATACGCGCTGTACAGAGGAGAGCTTTGCCCAGCAGTGGGACATTTACCTTATTAATTTTTTATATCATATAATCAAACATATTTTACTTAGTCTTATTTAAAAACTGTTTAATTTATTACCTCAAAATTTACCTACCTTTATGAGATCATGAACTAGCGATGAGATAAACATTTTATCTAACTTTATATCTTCATTCTCGATTATATCCTGAAATGGAAAGATATTGTTAATTTTTTATTTATGTTATCATAAATTGTGAATGTTAATCCCTAATTACTAAAACACCTTTTTAATACCATGTGCTAATCAATCATTCTTTAAAATTCAAAATGCTGTCAAAATAGTTCAATAATGCGAGGATTATCATAAAAACATTAATCTTCACATTTTAAACTATGAATCAAAGTTTTCATTAAAACAAAGTCTAATCATTTGCAGTCATTAATGTAAAACGTGTATGTTATTCTAACAATAAACCTCGACACGCAACGGACCACGCGCAACCGAACGAAAATGGCGGCTTCGTCTTGTTATTTCATGCTATTTTTTTTTTTTCATTTGTCACTTTTTCATAGCTGCCATTATTTTGTCAAAATTCAACTTTATTGATTAATAACAGTATTTATAATACTACACCCCGACTTGTATCATTGTTCCGTGAGAACAATAACTATTCATTCAACTAAGACAAAGCCTTAGTGACAATATTGATTACTGCAAAGTAAAGTATTTACAGTCTTTTTATAAATGAAAACAAAGAAAACAAATGGTCTGTTTCCAAACTGAATGGAATACAGAGCACATTACACATAGCGGCTACTTTGGGAAATTAACGAACTAACTTATTAATTAGAGAAAGCTGCAACTAGCAAAATAAGTGAACCGTTTTCTTTTTAAGAAACATAGTTGGACAGCGGAACACTTACATACAAACTGCCCTTTGCGCAATAGTCCGTGATAAGTAAAACGCGCAGAGGCTCCACGACGGCTCCGATGAACGAGTTGAGGTTGTCGTGGCGCAATTCGCGAAGCAGTCGCATCTCCTTCATTACATCACGCGATATGTCCTAAAAAGCCAGACCATGATTTTTTCTAGTATCCTTTTTTTAAAATTATAATGACACGCTATCAACATCATTTCAATATTAACAATTTTTTAAATTATCATTCAGTTATTACCTACTAAAATTTTAATGATGTCCAAATATACTCACTTTCTTTTTTGCAAATTTTAGTTCCTTAATTCGAACAACATTTCCCTTGTATTGGGCTGTGGTCGTGAAGATTTGAGTACAACATCTACTTTCACATGATATACCACTTGCCAGACTTAACTGAAATTAAGATATCAATACATCAATCTGTTTACACTATCTAAATCTAACGATCTTGCAGAATTTAAATGAGAATGTGGTTCAATATTTTTAAAAGGTAAGAATAAGCCTTAAAGTCATGAAAGCAGTCAAAAAACCATGCTTAAATATGTTTATTTAAGAGCTCTCTTTTAGCTTTAACAAGAGAAAACAGAAATAGCTAATGCCTCCAATTTATAATGCAGTTAGTTTCAGTCTGAAATTTAATGAGTTGTGAATTCTTTGCCAGTCTAAAAACCAATGTACATCTTGTAAATCCGAAAAACGCACTCGTTCACGATGGATTCCCTACGATTATCTGTTAAAACTGCAAAATGTCAATCATGCCTCTTGTATGGGAGCCTGGCTTAAATATTTCTTTATTCTGTTTTTACTTATTTGTTATAGCGGCAACAGAAATACATCAACTGTAAAAATTTCAACTGTCTAACTATCACGGTTCATGAGATACAGTCTGATGACAGACGGAGACACAGTCAGACAGCGGAGTTTTATTAATAGGGTCCCGATTTACCCTTTGCGTACGGAACCTTAAAAACGGATCTCACTTGCACCTGTTACTGGGATTTGAATCCATGAGGTGAAACCTAAGTCACAGCTTTGTTTACCAGATTATACTTAGTGTAAGCCATTGTATACTAATATGTATTGATTTTCAAAAATGGGAAGACCTATAAAAATACATCTGTATCTCAGTCATTTACTCCTGCATTTCGTTAAAGTGGAAATACTAGCTGTAAAATAAAATATTATTCCATCTTAGTTTCTATCATCTAACCAAAGATGTCAAAAGAGGAAATAAAGAAATATCAACATAAAGTAAACAACGTAGGCATTATTCTCACGAGCGTACAGAAATGTACCTAAGGTGATATTAACCTTGCTGGGCGACCACACGAGCCCGCTGCCCAAGTAGCCGGCGATCTCGTGCGAATCTATCTTCCACAGCAGCCCCTCGATCTCCTGCTCGATCTTCCATTTGCGGTAAATGCTTATGGTGACGACGAGGGCGCAGAACAGGGTGACCGCCAGAGTGCCCGCCACCACGAGCGACGTGATCTGCGAGTCGTCCTTCGGGCACTTCTCGTTCAGGAAGCCGCACGACGGCTCGTCCTCTGGCTTCACGCTGTCCGGCCAGTCGATCGGCAGCCGGGGGTTCAGTTTGTACTCCTGCAAGTCGGAAAGGGGGCATACAAAATGCGTCCATTCATATTCTGCTACAGAAACTATGAATATATAGTCCGTCATTTGAGGATAAAATCGTTTTATTCGTAGATAGTGAAATTTTTAACTGGCTATGAATGACGAAATCTGAAGATGGCAAAGGAAGGCAAAACATTCAATGAAAATTAAAACACTCAAAATGAGGATTGTTGTTCTATGTTATTCACTATTTTCAATCATTGCGGTTATACCTGTCATTCGTGACTCGACGTTAACCGTCTGTAGTTTGCGGCAACAAAGGATTATGACATTGCCAACCGCAATATTGCGTTGGAAAACATCATCTGATGCTCACATGCAAAGCTTCAGGATTTAGGCTATGTAATTGTCTTCTTAACACTAATTGGATCGAAATCCCAGGGAAGTAATTTAATGAAGCCTAACACAACTTCAGTTTTTAATAAATTCGGCCCCAACGTTGAGCTTTCCAAGCTCAGATGAAAATCTACGCTCTATTATAATTATTCTTATATAAAAAAATTATATCCACCCATTTTCATACTACTTGCAACAAAAATTCCCGTTGCGTTCCTTTCCCGTTCCGCGATAATGAGCCTAAATGTTCTTAGAACATTTTTATGTGTAATTTTTCATTTCCAACATGTAGTATTCGAAGTAAAGATCCAGTGCACCGAGGCTATTTACATAACGTTAAACTTGCTAAACGAAGCCTTATTAACCTGAATTATATTAACCTGATTGATTAATATTAATAATAGTGTTATATTTTTATTTTTTATTCTTACAGGAAACTCCCGGTTCGATTGCTGGAAGTGTCCCACTGGTATCATACTGTAGGAACAGTTGATTTCCTCGTCACTGAAGTTCGTAGGTTTGAAGGCAAGCACCGAAAAATTACCCTCGGAGTCGGCGCGTTCGTCTAATCTTATCGACATTCCGGATACACCTGTGTACACGCAAAGAACATAGTATAAAATTAATATAAAACCACGCCAAATAAATATTACCACCACCATTCAATCAAACAATGAAACTGTTTATCATATGTATGTATGTATGTATGTATGTATGTATGTATGTACCAATGCAGTCCATGTTTTCAGCAAAGATTTAATGAACTTATTTTAATGTTACATCACAAACAAAGTCATAGACATAATCTTAAACTAAAATCAGCATAATAAAGTCTTAGAAAAACTTACTTTTGTATGGCGAGCTTTGAATCATTTTGGCCACAACACGAGAACCATTCGTTGCAATGCTCAACAATTTGACTTCAGTCAGCTCCTCCTTCTCAGTCTCCTCTTTTATAATCTTGTCCAAAGCGGTCGCATAAAGCTTCACGGAGTCATACAAATATGCGGCGTATATCGAAACGAACTGAAAATAATTGTTGCGTTTCTCTGTTACTTTTCTTCTGTTAAAATTATTTTTTATAAAAAAAAGCTTAAGTAGATAGCCATACAAAATATGGCTTATATGTTTTTTTTATTTTATAGTGTCCATTTTTCTTATTATTTCAATAGTTTTTTTTTTTAATAGTAACTTTAATAATATATTTAAATGAAACAATTAAAAGTACTTAATCTATTAAAAATGTTCTAAGAGTCCATTTAAATTATTAGAATATAATCTCATGGGCAATTTTCGATATTAAAAGAGAAATATTATTATAATATCAACATAAAGAAATAAATACTTTGCCATCATTTTACCATCATTACATATTGTAAGATTATATTAATTGAAAAGGCTTTGACAAATAAAGAAAAAAACGATCTGTACACAAAATTAATTGCTTTCAAATCATACTTTCACGACAATCATAAAATATAAAATATTCTAGTACATCTATCTTAGATAATAACATAATAATATGATGTTATTATCTAAGATAGATTATTATCTATATTATTATCTAATTATATTATTGAATTCAAAGGACCCAGAGCAGAATCTCGTAACTGCTCGTTCATATAGAATAGAAAGTGAGAAAGTGGATGCTCTGTCAGTAGTATTGACAGGGTACGATGGAATACATATCGAATTACTGGAGTAATAAGCTGGTAATGGTTTTTAACGGACATTGAAAAGCAAACAACAATTTTGTACATTAAAAACTAAACATATATCAAGTCTGCTAGTTATGACATGAATAAGTAGTAGTACTGCTAGTTATATCTCATTTAAGTCACGAGCTAGCAGCAGCTGTCCTGTATTGGAATTTTAAAACTCGAAGAGTGAGCAAGGAGCGGCGCGCCATCGCAATGAAACTTCTACCGTAGTTAGTTACCTTGATGAATCTGTTCTCGAAGACGGTGGGAAGCGGGAACTCGAAGGGCTTCATGTTGTTGTACTGGCGCACCTTCTCCGTGAACACCTCGTAGCTGCCGGTGGGCTCCGAAGAGACCACCACCAGCAGCGACTGGGCGCGCTTCCTGAACTCCGCCGTGCTCGGGCACACCAGCTTCGAGCCGCGATCCTCCGTTTCTGGGCGGCGGAAACCAGCGCTTGAGTTGACCATCTCGAGTGGTCTCGGTCGCAATCGAAACAAAACGGGACAGACACAGCAGTGGAATAGGCAAACTAATTCAAATTCAAAATAGTTCTTAAGTAAGTTAACACCGGTTTTCTGTCGAGAAGAGACGGGTTGCTCATTTTTAAAAAGTTTACAATATAACATACATACAATACAGCGTATGGTTTTATTTTAGCCTACGTGAGTAATACAGCATTAAGTCCACACATTGGCGTTTTCAAGATATTCTGCAATGGTTTTGGCTTTAACCACAAGCTTACTTTAATCTTGCGTTTAAATTGGATCAAGCGGAAGACTTAATATAGACCGTGGCAGGGTTTTTATTATACATGCGCATTCTTTGCCCCATGAACGAACTATTTTCTTTTTGTAGACGAAACAATGGAGTAGTTACTTTTTCCTTATTTCTAGTATTTAATTTATGTGTGCCACTATTCTTTATGTAATAATAACTTATGTAAAAATTTATGTCTAACATACAAAATATTATAATAAATTTATTGATACGCAACATTGGCGCCTAAAGGCATGGCCATGCTATTGTGATTTGTAAATTATTATTTTAACAAATTATATTAAAAATAAATAACGGGACTCACTTATTAAATACTTCAACGAATCTTTGGAGGAGTAAGTCATCATGTCGACGAAGATCACCATGTATTCCCCTTTCGCGAATAGCTGCGACGATTCCATGGCCGACATCATTTCTATGAGGCCCGACGTTGAGCCCAAGAACACGTATACTGAAATGAAAGTGTTAGAATTTAAAAAAAACACAATTTATTTACGATTTTAAGAGAAAATTTCAAATATTTGAACGGCAATTCTTAATACAAATATCAAAAGTTCTCAAAGTGTACGGTACTGCCCCCAATAGGCGATAAGGCTGTTTAAATGAAAATAATAGTAAGTATTTTTGGAAATTCTATATTTTAGCAGCACAGTCGTTTTTCACCTACAAATATTTTAACTGATGGAGAAAGAACCGAATTAATAATAATCACGAAGTAAAAATTATTTCGTTTCTCTATCTATAAAAAATGTTGGAAGTGAATATTTTATCATTATTGTGACTTTCGTTTCAGTTTATTTGCCTTTTCATATATTTCTGAATGTTGGGGGGAGTTGAGTATTTTCCTAAAGTGAGCGGTACACCAAAAAAATTGAGAAAAACTGGCCTACACTCATCTCCAGAAGTCTTTTAGAATTAACTACTATCCTTTAATTTCTTGTGTGTCGAAGTGTTTCGAAGAAATCGAAATGGGTGCTCAAATAAAATCATTAATTAAAAGAAAAAAAAGTGTGTCTACTGACATTGTTATAAATAAATATCATAAACTTTTATAATGGATACAAGACAGTACTAACAAATAATGTACATACATGTATACAGGCATAAAAGCGCCATCTATGATAAAACAAAAGACTAAGTTGGCACTTACTTCTAGTTCTATTCTTGGTGTCTTGAATGAACTGATACCAGAAGCCGGGCGCACAACAAGTCAGTTTCTCTTCGCAGCACTTAAAGCCATCAATAACCGGCCGCTGGTGGTTTACGGTCATATTGTTCTTCTTCGCGTGATTCTCCAATGTCAACGCTACCGTCACCCAAGATTCTTCATACAAGATAGAGAACTTGTTCCATCTGTAGTATCTCAATAGCGATATAACAGATTTTGTCGCCTAAAACAGTCGGCATTCGATTAGAAAGATAGATTACTTATACTTTCTCCACTTGGTATTTCGATAAAATAGTCAAAACAACATACCTGAGTGTCAGGAGGCTCCAGTCTAGCGAAATTCGATAAAGTGGAAGTTTGGTAATCGGAACATTTCTGTGGAAAGAGAAATTTCGGTCACTTTTGCGTTGAAGTTTTTTTTTATGCGAGAAGTTTACAAGCGAGCTGGTCGATCACCTGATAATAAGTGAAAACCGCCGCCCACTGACGTTTGCGACACCCGTAGAGTTACAGGTTACCTTTTAATAAAATGGGGCCCCGACTACCTCACTCACCAGATGAAACGCAGAAGAATACTTCCACCTTACGCCGGTCTTCTGTGAGGTCGTGGTACTTACCCGGATGAACCTGCCCATTCGTGCAACAGCGAAGACTGTTGCATGGCCCTTCCACAATGAAAGTTATTGAATTAAAGTTCACAACGCTCTTAAAATTCATTATCGTTAAAACTTTCAAAAATAGTCTTTGAATAAACAGTATCAAAGAACCGCTTTCTATGTTAATAAAAACACTGAACATGAGATAATCTCAAAGCAGTAATACAATCAGAACGCCCTCATTTATGTATCAAATATTGTATTTCACCACAACAATGCACCTGATCACACGCTCGACATAGTTGCGGTTGACAAATTTTTAACGAGATAATAATTAGGTAACTGTACTTTTGTTCAGTCTTTTGTTTAATTCAATACAAATCAACGATATCGTAGCACAGTTACCACTGAGCTTCTCTAAGCAAACAAAATATTACTGATAGTTTAAATTTGTGGACAATAAAAAAAAAATCGTCTCGCAATTACTTTAAATAATGTGATGGACATCTATAACGGATAATATACTATCAAAATTGTAACCTCTATGGACTCTATTGCGACTGTCGTCAATGTTTCAGGTAGATCATTAATTAAGGAACAATACTCACGTAAGAGATCATTGGTAAATTCCTGGACTGTGCGATGATGGCCTCAGTGTGACATCGACCCTCGGGCCCGAAGAAGGCGACCACGCCGGAACAGCTCATGTCCGTGAGGAGCTTCGTGGCCGTTACAGTGTCGCAACGTGTGTCATTCCATTTCAGGAGCAACTGCACATCGGGCAATATCTCGGTGCTGTTGTTCACCTGAAAAATGTAAGCAATTACATTGAAACGCATAAAAACTGCACATTGCAACTTTTTTTTCTGTAAAAAACCATGCAACCAGGCAACCAAGCGAACGTCTCACCTGATCTCAAGTGATTACCGCGGTTCATGGATATCTCAGCCTTTGCTCAGGTTTTGTATCTGACGCCAAACAGCAAAGTGCACCCCGGCTACCACAGTCACCATACGAAACACGAAAGTACAATACCGTACCGTACCATGCAACAGCGCCAGCCAGCGAGAGACACGCAGCAAGAAACAAGACAAGAAACTGCTGCGAGGCCCTATCACTTTTAAAACCTTTTAGCACCTTTAGCAGATTATTTTTCTCGAACAGTTTAAAATGCTCAACTTTCATATAATTATGTATATAAAATTTGGTCACAGATTTAATGTAGGGAATATTCGGATATAAAAAACGGTAGTTAATGCAAGAATAGAATTTAAGAAATTAATATAAGGCACAATTAGCGGTTTTAAAAGTGAATATGTTTTTATGTTCAATGTTCTCTGTGATTGAAATGCGTCACTTTCGCAACCTCAACACAGCAATTTGATTGACACATCAAATGTTTCGTATAACGACATTTAAGAAATTATGCAAACCTCCTCGAGGGCCATGGAGAGTGCCCCGGATATAGCGAGCCCTTGTCTGTCCCTGTGCTCGCCTTTAATGGAGGGAAGGTATCCGATGGTGACATTGTACTTCTTTGCGGTGACTGAAGGCCCGGCCAGTAGACCCAGCGCCGCGAGTACCAACACCCGCGCGCCGTTCCACATGCCGTCGCCTTCACCGCGGGACTACCAGCTGAAAATTATATAGAAGCTCTCAATGTCAACGTCCCTGAGTCGCCCTTTTATTTCTTAACACAATAAAAACTCATTGTATCCACGAGGCACCCCCCGATTACAATGTATACATAAAAACTTCCATGCCGCCGCCTTGAGGGAGCGGGTGACATGAGTTTTAATTATCTTGTCATTGAAATGTATACTAATACCGATAGTTGATAAAGGATATTAAGTTGTTTGATTTACATGAAATTTTTAGAAGAACAAGTGGAACAAATTTTCTTTTATTTCAATCCGATTTCAAATATTTTTTAATATATTTATACATTATTTAGCACCATGGTGCAAAAATATACGATCTTCTCGACCTGTAATGTAGTAGTTTTAGAGTTACAAACAAGTTCCTTTTAAATAATTAAAAAACCAGTAGATGTGGCACATTTTATCTTTATATGTTAACAAGGGTAACGGGTTGTAAAAAACATACCGCATACAAAACATACAGTATTTAGTGTGACTGTGATTTAGTAAAAAGAAAATAAAATACAATACGATGTATATAAATATGTGCGTAGGTCATAACAAATATTTATAATTAAATATTTGCGTCAATAGTTATAAAATAAGAGGTAGCTTAATAATGTGAAGATAATAGCAGTGTAGTTGAGTCAGCTCGTATAAGTCGTCATAGGAAAAATTGTTATTTCAATAAGATTCGTGTTATTGGTTGACGTGGTTTATTAATTTGTAATACTCTTGTTGCTGTCATCCGCATACACTTTATACAAACTCTGACACACCTGGCTTAAACCAATTATTTGTGAGGAACCTTGATAATTTGTTCGATCCACGAAAACTAATAAATATACAAAGACACATGAAATTTTTTCCGTGTTTTTATATCATAATACATTCTTTAAACCTAAAACCAAATATAATAAATCTAATTAATTAAAATAGCTTTTTTCTTTTTAATTTTATGACTATGTTTTAAGATATCAAAAGAAGGTACTATTCTAGAAATTTAATAGAATTTCATTAATTAAATTTCTAGAATAGCACGAGAAGATGTTCAAGCTTTATTATTTGTGTAAGTGTGACAAACGAAAATACGGACTGTATTTGCTGACTGACAGTACATAGATAGGTTATGACGCATAAAGTTAGTCTAGGTAAAACCGCACTCTTTATTTGGGGAAAGGGCCGTAACAAGTCAGAATTTAGTCAGTAGTCGAGAACTATACTGAAAATTTTACAAACAATTAAAACATTTATATATTCGAGAACAATGTTTGCTATTAATGGATACAAATAACAAAGAAACAATTGTGGTTGCGTCGTTTGCCACATCCTCGACGTCCAACGCATCACTTTTTCTGTTTTTCTCTAAAACTTCTAGCTTCCGAAACCGTTACAAGTGAATAGCTTCGAATGGTAAACTTAAAAGTCCACACATAGGTTTGCTTCTGTTATATAAATAGGACGGGTTTATTTTTAATTCAATAGTGATCAGGTTCGGTGAGTTAATAATCTGGGCCCGCTACTTTCTAGTTGTGTTCATCTAAGTGCCTTAGGCGTTCCTTAGGCAGATTGCCCTGTTCGGTGGGTTTGTCTTTTGATAAGTAGCGCCAACCGGTACCGAAGACGGGATCGAGCACTCGCATCTCAAAATAAACTAAGTCTTGATGGAAGAAGAAATTTATCCCTTTTACGGTGCGTAGAAACCTTTCTGAGAAGAAAAGTTCACTCAATGAAAGGCTTATCACTTTTCAACTCCAAGTCATTTTATTGCCATTATTAGTTTTAATATAAGAGTACCTGGAGGACCGGTTTTTTTGGTAAATCATGTATTTTGAAAATAAAAAAAATAGAAAATAAAGAAAATGATCTGGTATAGAAAAAAAAAGTAAAAAAATATAAGTGTGTAAATGATCGTGATACGAACCGCAGCCGTCTTTCAGCAGTTTTGGGGCCGCCCGATTACCTACTGAGCTATTATAACATTTTTTTTGCGGCGAAATTTACTGTTATATTCGAATGATATTTTTCATTCCCTGAAAACAGGGATAAAAGGACATTTTCTAAAAATGAAACCTAGCTAGGTCGATTTTCCGAACTCGGATCTACGCACATACTAAATTTCATGAAAATCGCTGGAGCCGTTTCCGAGATTCCGATTATATATAGGTATACAAGAATTGCTCGTTTAAAGGATAAGAGATATTTGTCTATTTCATTGGCACAAAAAGGATAAGAAAGTACTCAGTCTCTATTCTAATCTTATTCGGTCAACTTGGTTGTATCCAAACATTTTGTATAAATACATGTTAGCTACAAATTAATATAATTATAAAACAACAAGCTATAAAGAATAATTATAGAAAAAAATGTCATTGTTACTTAATAAACCAAACTATGTACGAACAGTTGGTAATGAAATGATAACATCAAAGTACTAAGACCGCATAACCTCTGCCATCTTAACTTTACATTATGAGCTCTATCACATGTTACATACATATGTATAAGTAATTGATGTATATATAATAATTAACAAGCCTGGCAAACATTGTTCTGGACTTTCCAGTAAGTTCACTATAGTCGCATGTTGTAAGTTGTACACAATCGTCTCGACATAAAAAAAAATATATGAGCACTAAAGTAACAAGATATAGTTAGAACATAAAAATCGAAAACGAGTGAAAATATGTTAACTGTGTTCAAACCAGTCTCACAAAATAAATTATACACCTCGTAAAATCTTTATTGAAAATTTTTTAAACAAACTGCATACACGTATGTAAAATTATTCGTATGACCTTTTTTATTACACCTAACGTATTAGTTGTTCAAAAAGCAATATCAAAGGTATTTTATATCTTTTAAACTTTATTAAAAGCTGGCCACGCATCTGCAAAGTGCGATAAAATATCATTCGAATATGATGGTAAATTTCACCGAAAAACAAATGTTATAATAGCTCGGTCGGTAATCGGGCGGGCCCCGAAACAGAGAGCCGTGGTTCGTGTCACGATCATTTACACACATATTTTTTTAGTTTTTTTTCTATACCAGATCATTGCCAATTTACCAAAAAAAAGTCCTCCAGGTACTCTACTATTAAACACTCATAAAATCAATAATCTTTTAAAATTCTCTATAACCATTTATCTCAACTGTTATATCCTAAATGTACTGAAATTAAAAAAATCCGGCTCGCTATTCTGGTAAACTGTTGTTTTTGTACCTATAATGTGTTTGATTGATTCTATAATTTTAACATATGTTTGAATATTCTTGATCAATATAATATATCTTTCAAATATTTCTCCTTCACTTACAACATAAAACATGGACTCGCAAAATTGAGTCAGTGGACATATCTATTTCTGTGAGACAATAAAGGGAAGTATGGAGCGCACTTTCCGCCCTCAAATGTAGGAATTACTTCCATGCTGTCAAGTAAGTAATTGACTCGCAGCCGGACACCGATTAAACCAATTGGTGGTTACGCTATTTTGACAACATAACCAGTACAGACGCTGACGAACGTAGATAAAGTTTTCGTCTCATATTTTCGTCCATATAACGCACTAAAACGTTTTAAGGTATATGTAAAGTATTATGTTAAAAAAGCATTATATGGTCCAATATTACTGTAAATTAACTATGTATAAAATTTATTTAACGTTGTTTCATAGTTGACGATTTAATGTTAAAATTATACATTTATCGCACACCGAAATAAGTTTATCAATTAAAATTTATTGTTATAATGGTCGCGCGATAGAATTGTTTACATTTACGATGACGGCATAGATTATTCGAAGAATTAAATTATTTTCGATTCTATGTAGACGCTTTAAATTGACTAAAATTAAAAAAAGACGTGTGATACGAGAAAAAGCAGCACAATTCACCAGAGATCCCCACTTAAGCGTGGCTTGATGGATCATCAATCCGCGGAGGCCCGGGCGGCTGATAGGATGTTTCAGCACGACTCGGGCTGATGACGCCGTCGCCTTGAGATAACGCTACCGATAACACTCTCTATAGTTATTTTTAGAATTGTATAAAAAGGTAAACTGATAAAAATCACAATTCACGGAATCGGAACTATACCAGGCATAGCGCCAACGTCATTATTTAATTAAAAAATAATTCAGAATGACCGCTTTACATTCGTCGTAATTCAATATGGTTTGTTATATATAGTTCATTTCCATTGACACAGGCATTATTAAGTTTAATTTCTCATATTATTTTTCCTCCGGGCAAAATAAGTTTAACATTTAACAGTTATCCTATTTTTTCACTACGCAATAAATAAATAAAATTTGATGATAAATATAACAAGTATGCCGCACACTAAAGGCTCATTTACACGATGCCATTTTCTTGTACATACAAGAGCAATAATTGAATGCAATAAATTGCGCGCAATAATTGACCATAAAGAATTGTAAGCAAAAGTTTACACGCAGATATAGTAAAAAAAAATTGAATGCGATTATTGTATGCAAGACTGGACAAGAAATAATTGCAAATGTCTTTTGTTTACACCAATGCCATTATGTTTAGGCGATTATTGCTTTCAAGTTTTGACTTGTCTAAACACATGATTGTATGTGCGTGTACAATTTATTGGCGTGTTGCTTCAAGTATTGCACGTATTTGCGTTGACAAATATTTCATTCAAGTATTGAGCGTTTTGAAAAGGGCTGTTTATTTTAAAAAAAATGGGTCAATAATAAGTGTTCAAGTTAGATTATGCCGATTTAATATATTTCATTGAGATTTATTTATTATTATCCATATATTATAATTCATTTTTTTGTCCAACTTTTTTTACGACCTTTTCCCAATATTTCTTGCCTCAAACGAACAGCAACGATTAAATACCCTCACTCATTGCACTAATTTTTGCAAAGGAAGAGAGAATGCAATTGAATAAAAGAATTGCTTGAGAAATTATTGTGTGTGCTGTT